AGTGTGGGACTACCTGTGTCAGTGTGTGACTACCTGTGTCAGTGTGTTACTATCTGTGTTAGTGTGTGTGACTACCTGTGTCAGTATGTGACTATTTGTTTCAGTATGTGGCTAACTGGATTGTATGTGACATTGTTTGAATATACATGTCATGGTTTGACCACCTGTGTAAGGCTGTGACCACAGGTGTGATGGTGTGACTTTATATTTATATTTATAAAAAGAGATTGATTTATTGGTTATAATTGTACAGTATGCCAAAATGATCCTTTTATCCCTCTGTAACTTTAGTAGACTATCCCATGCATTGATCTGGGGAAGTCCATTATGGTCTACAGTGGTGAAAAGGTTAAAAAAAAACAAACACAAAATTCTTCATCAATTCCTATGTTTTTATTTGTCGATAACACCGCGACATAGAGATACATAAATGTACATATAAAAACAGGCTTCAACAATGTTTGAATATAATACATAAATTAAAAATAATCAAAGATCATGACAATGTAATAACACTTCAAATTCTGCATATTGAAATCATGTAAATATTTTTCAAATATCTCAATTCAACTAACAACACTACCTGCACACCCTTTTGATTAAATAATTATCCCTTTCATTCTCATTTTCAATTTTTCTCCATTATCAAACTATTAATTGCCTGATTAAATTATTATAACCTTGAAAAAGTTTCAATTGATAATTTATTTTCAAAATGAAAAGACAAATAAAGAAATGATTATTTCCCTTTAAAAATTTCCCCAACTAATAAATCATTTTCAAAATGAAAATAGAAATATCAATTAATAGCACAGATAAATAAAGAGGATATTATTCTCTTGTGTTCCAGTCAATAAATCATTTTTAAAATGAACCTTTAATCATTTTAAACAACAACGAGGAAAAAGTTATAAAATGAAACATTATTGGTATTGGATTATGCCTTGTTAAGTCAATAAATGCTTACAACTAACAGCCAATGAAAAGTAACCTTGCTACTCAATTCCAACTCTAGTTTGATTCCATAGAAAGATAGGGAAATTCATTATAATAGTCAAAACAGCAAGGGAAACAGGTTACTCACAGAGCTATCATATGTCGTAAACAAGCCATTCGGATTGATATGTCTCGCCTATACCCCGCTTTGACCGATGAATGCACATATCAAGAGAAACTAACTTAAACCCAAAAACTTAATGTTGATGGAGATGCTGACAAAGTCAGTGGACCATGAAAGGTAGGCCGCATCCAGCATTTGATGCATGGGTTGAGATGTACTACCTAAGATGCATCTATGGTCCAAGTTTGGTTGGTCAAGCACTTATACATTCAGTGAAACTTACTTAAACACAAAACCTTAATGTTGACACCGTTGCCGGAAAAGCATTATCTTAGTCTCGTCTCCACTTCATGGCGGAAAGACAAAAACCATTGTACAAGACCATTTTAAGCAAAAATAATTTAGAATATTGAGATGTTTTAGTTTATATAGTGGTAGACTCCCTTTTTTTTAAATTTCTTACGAGTTCATCTTCATTGTTTCACAGTGCCTACTGTGAAATTCATCCTTGAAATTTTCTGCATCCCTGGGCCCTTATTCATGAAACCGTTCTAATGTTCAAACCTAGATCCTGTGCTCAAGTCAAATTTCATGTGCCAGTGATAAATTAATAAAATGATCATATTTTGTCAATGATATGTAGGAGATTTGGAGAGACTATAAGCCGAAGATTGTTTTCAATGTTTAAAGTGGACTATTTGACCGTGTTAAGCGATTTATACGAGTTGCAAGAAAGTCGGTTTGAGCACAGAATTCATACTTGAGCATGAGAGCAGTTTGATGAATTCGGGCCCTGGAATATTTCATGAAATCAAAGGCTGTGTACACTCCTTGTTGACGATACAAGTAGGCTAGTTTGATCCTTTTATGTACAACAAAAGAATCCCATAGCAGCCCAACGGTAAATTTGGCAGGCTTTGTATTTGGGTGACACTCCTCTGTAATCCTCAAAGGACAGATATCAGCCTAGCTATTGGTCAGTCTTTTTTTTTTTACTTGAAACCAATCAAATAGCTAACTGCCTGTCTTTGATTTTTTTCATGACATATTCCAGGGATGAAGAGAAAGTAGGTGAGGTGAGCATTACCCCTGTTTGTTGTTTTTTTTGTAAATTCCACATTTTACGTAACTTAATCAGACAGAAAATGTACCATCCTCGATACTCCAGGGGTTACGCTCACTTTCGTTCTCTGCACCCTGGAATATGTCATAGAAAATGGAAGGCATAAAGGTAGCTGTTTGATTGGTCTCAGGTTACTCGGGTTAAAAAAAACCTGACAAATCGCCAGGATGATGCACCTATCCTTGGAAGATGACAGAGGAGCGACACACAACTTTAAAGCCTGTCAATTTTTACCGTAACACGACCAGGAGATTCTTTCAATGTTCATCAAAGGATCGAACTAGTCTTCTTGTCTCATCATCAAGGTGGCACACACTGAGCCTTCAATTTTGCTATGACATATTCCAGGGGTGCAGAGAGCAAAAGTGAGCGTAACCCCTGGATTCTCAAGGATGAAAATGTACATTAACCTATTTCCTTACTATGTTATATAACATGCATGAACATTGACAATAACATAGCAAACATGATTATTTACTAGTTCATCCCTGAAGACACATTTGAACTCTCCCAATTCAAAGGTTGGAATAGTTCATTATGAAATGTCAGGGGTGAATGAGTAAGACATTGTGCAATCCAAAACTTTCATTCTCAGAATGGAGCGTTTGGTCCCCAATGGTGTTCAGTTTTCACCTGGTTACTAGGCTATGAAAGTAGAGGCACTAGATTATACTTACATCTGTACAAACATTAGGTAGGTTTGTGCAACTCATTCACCCCTGAAATTTCATAGTGAACTATTCCAACTTTTGAATTGGAAGAGTTCAAATGTGTCTTCAGGGGTAAATGAGCTAATGAATTAAGTTTAGTCATCAATGATAAATAACGAGGAATCACAACAGTCGGAATATAGAAAACATTCTCAGGAATAAAGCAATTCTATCGCATTCATAATTTGTGAACCGCTTTGAGACGACCTACGAACTAGGTTGTGATAAAGCGGTATATAAGAGCCTCAAATTATTATTATCATGTTTATATCATTATGTAATGTTTTATGAAAAAATTACGAGGACAACATGTAAATCTACATATCAATACCCTGTAATTCAATTGCTTTCTTTTGTCAACATTGTATTAATGATATGACAGGTGCAATTTTACCTTTTCCAGGTATTAACGACATGACAGGTATAATTTTACCTTTACCAGGTATTTACTACATGACAGGTGTAATTTGACCTTTACCAGTTGTTTACGACATGACAGGTGTAATTTGACCTTTACCAGGTATTTACTACATGACAGGTATAATTTTACCTTTACCAGGTATTTACGACATGACAGGTATAATTTTACCTTTACCAGGTATTTATGACATGACAGGTATAATTTTACCTTTACCAGGTATTTACGACATGACAGGTATAATTTGACCTTTACCAGGTGTTTACGACATGACAGGTGTAATTTTACCTTTACCAGGTATTCATGACATGACAGGTGCAATTTTATCTTTATTTTGTATTAACAGCATTACAGGTGCAATTTTACCTTTACCAGGTATTCATGACATGACAGGTGCAATTTTATCTTTATTTTGTATTAACAGCATTACAGGTGTAATTTTACCTTTACCAGGTATTCATGACATGACAGGTGCAATTTTATCTTTATTTTGTATTAACAGCATTACAGGTGCAATTTTACCTTTACCAGGTATTCATGACATGACAGGTGCAATTTTATCTTTATTTTGTATTAACAGCATTACAGGTGTAATTTTACCTTTACCTGGTATTTGTATCATGACGTGTTATTTTCTGGTGTAATTTTACCTTAACTAGGTATTTGTGTCATGACAGGCATAATTTTACTAGACTAAAAAAGTCTGTTTTCTATCCAGATCTATCAAGACTTAAACAACTAATTTCGAAGTGAAAAAGACAGCTTTTGTGACATATTTGAACATTATGAAAGAAAATGGAAGAAATGGAAGAAATGGAAGTAACAGAAGATGATGGTATAAGTCAGCTCCTGCCATTGGATAAAATTAATATATACATTTTAGAGATTTAGATTGAATTTTTTATCTGCTTACAACAACGATTTCTGCTTTACAAAGACAGAGAAATATTTCTGTAACAATATCCCCGGCTTCTTTTGTACTTAAAAACCACAGAAAAAAACCCACCAGTTTGTCTTCAAGTGTTGTTCAAAATTACAAGTTTGTCCATTTCACACTGAGGTTGTACAAAATATCATCATGTAAATTTTGTACTCTGTCCAATGATAAACAAAAAATCATTAAAATAAAAATAGTGATCATATGATTTAATTTTGGGTTACAAAGACGCAAAACTCTCCATACGAAACATCACACAAAAAACGTCATATTGGCTAACATTCTATCGTGTAGAAAATGACGATGCAGGAAAACAGATTGTGGCTGTGTAGAGGGAGACACCGAGAAGAACTATTAAGAAATTAGAATTTTGAGAAGTGTTTGTGGAAAAAGTCTATATCTGGGCATCCTTGTACACAAGAGTTCCAATCTGGTTATACGTATCTTCTCTGCATCCTTTGAATGTATGATAACAAAATTTGGAGGCTGTGGACTTTGCTGGTGATTTTTTTAGACTAAAATGATGTCTTTAATAATTTTTAGTATTTTGTTTGGGTTTACATCCTGGCAATGGTCATGGTAATAGGAGGACGGGTGCCTAGGGAGTCACTGCCGGAAAAAGAGAAAGAAGACAGAAAATAAAAGAAAGGAAAGTCTTTTGATAAATTAAGATCAAAATAATCATGCCGCAGCGAAAATGTAAAATCAACAGGCTTTGAGGTCGAGTGTTGCTCCTCTGTAATCTTCACAGGACAGGTATCAACCTAGCGACTGGTCAGTTTTTTATACCCGAAACCAATCGAATAGCTTCCTGCAAGCCTTCGATTTGGTTATAACAAATTCAAATATGAGGTGCGGAGAAGGTATGAATATCAAGAGCGGAATCTTTTGTTTCCAAGGATGAGACTGGGGCGGAATCATAAAACAGTACGTACAAAATATAATAAAACTGTTGCATTCATTGTCACAGATTTATTAATCAATATGTATGTAATGATCATTTGTCCACATTCAACCACACAAGCGTCAATCTGCAGTTCTACAAAACCTGAGAATCCTCTACAAAACCTGAGAATCCTGTTCAATATATACAGAGTACCATTCATGTTACACAGCTGTAGAAGTGAAAATTATCGCGGGTGGAAATGTTCGCGCTGTGACTATTTAAACTGTTTGCGGTGTGGCAATTTTCACGTTGTCAATACGTCATGTAGTTATGAAATCTATCTAAATATGTAATATATCAATAATCATATTCACGTGGGGATGTCTTTGGGTGCGACATTCTGAACGCAAATATACATGAACATTTCTGCAGCGTGAAAATTTCAACTCCTACAGTATGTTTGAAAATTTATTTACATCTATGTAAAATTATTTATGTCTTTCATATAATTTAACTGTAACAAACTTATAAATCACTTTATACATGACATAATTTCGCTTTATTTTGTGAGGACATCCTATCACAAATTAAAAAATCTGGCTTATATTTTTATTAGGGAACTTATTTCTGTTTTTGCTCAATTTGTGACTTAAAGCCTCGTATATAAGAGGTCTGATGCATAAATGCAAAAATTAGTACATGTATATGTATACATATAAGTTGTTAAGTACTATTGTGAAATTTAAGTGTTCACAAAAATTATTTACAATTGTATAAAACTTGCAGTCTTATTGGTAACTATTTTACGAATAAATTTGATGGAACCCTTGTAGATAAATGCCTCGACAATGTTAAATCTTATTTGATCAACTGAAAACAATAACAAATCAATGAACTTCAATTTAAAAAAAAAAAGACACAATATATTTCTTAAAAAAACACCAAATATTGTAATGATGCTTCGTGACCAAAATAAAAATTATTATCACTACTATACCACAAAATATAATTCATTCATAACTCCTTCTGTTTTCTATGTCAGAAATAAGAACAGAATGTACATACACAGCAATCGATTTTGTGGAGATTTTATGTTCTTTTTCATGACACCATCTGCAACATAAAACCTGTTATCATTGGTGTTGTTTCCCCTTTTCTTTACATATGACCATTCGGGGGATGATTTTTCATGATTTTTAAAATGAAATTTCAATTTACGACAAAATTATAATATGATTTCCAACCAATGTTTGTCCCCAACTGAACTGGTTACCATAGAAACCACTATACAAATGTACCAGGTTCCCACAAAAATGGCTGTTCCACCATTTGGTATAACAGCTCATTCAAAATGTATCAATGGGTTGAAAGAAACCTCTAAGAAAGATGTTACACAATTTTCTTTTTGGTTTTGGACGTAAATATAAGGAATGAAATGCATGGTTATAATATTTATGATGATATGCAATGCAGTTTTGTTCAAGCATATATATACTCGCCAAGATGTGCTCGTTTGAATCAAGGAATGTCCTAAAATACATTTCAATCCTTAATTAAACTAAAATGCCCTCCCAGGCAAAGGTAGTCTAGATCTCTTACTACATATTCAGCTGTATGATTATAATATTACAATTTGCTATAAAAACAAATAGGGCTCAACTCTACTCAGTAAGCCTCAGTCTATCACAGGTAAAGAGATACAATATTTTTTTACGTTAAGTGGTCAATGACTAAATTATTCAGGGTTTAGAATACCCTGCAAAAGATTTTCATTTCTGTTGACCATTGATTAAACCCTGCTGTGTCCAGAACGCACTTTGACATATATTTGTTTCTGGACTCGGAATACCCCGAGACAGATATATATTTTTGTTGACCACTGACCAAATTCTTCTGGAGTCAGAATGCCCTGTGAAAGATTTTTAATTCTGTCAACCATTGATAAAATCCTAATTAAAATAGACTTATTTACCCCGGACTGGTCTAAGGCAACTAGCGAGGGTAAATTTGTTAGATAATAAAAAATATATATATGTTCTCTAGAAAAACTGATTTTCCCCCCAGTCAGATGTGTAAAATCTACACAACAATTTTAAAACTAAAATTTCACAAAATATAGCAAAACTACTGTTAAAATCTCTTGAATATATAAATACTTGTACATTGTACAATAAATTATAAATATGTATTTGAGTTTTACAACGGACTGGTAGAACAGGACCATGAAAGAACTTCTGTTTCAAAGTGAGAAAGAAAATATGGTGACGACGTTTCTTTATAATAAAGCACACAATAAAAATGATTGATGATGACATCTAACAGCAAAACATAGTAGCATGTAGTGTATACAACTTTGAATTTGTGCAGGGTTACTTCGCATTTTCCTGATGGAATTGACATTCGTGCATTGTAGAATTAGCAGAAATTAGGACAGTCTGTGGTATTCTAGCACAATTAGATGTTTATAAAACTTTCTATTGCAGGGCTAGAAATTAATTTTGAATAACACCAGTCAGTTGTGATAGTACTTTCCAACTTTTACTAGTCCTTGTAAAAATTCCGCTAACCAAATATCATTCACCAAGATAACTAATATGAAATTTTGACTTACCGGTAGTCAATCATGCTAGCTGTTTTGAGAACCACTAGTCCAGCTGCAGATTTCACTAGTCTCAGACTATCGGGATACACTTACTTTCTAGCCCTGTCTTACTTTCTAGCCCTGTATTGTGTATTTATTCTTATACAATTGTTTTTATTTTTGTTGAAACATTGAAATACTGCAGAGGTATTTGAAAAAGTGTCAACATTTTAACAGTAAACCTTGTTCATATATAAACATGAATAGAATGTAATTTTATTCTAATTAACGTTTAAATTCATAAAGTGAACTGTTTGATGTTCTTTGTATGTATTGCTGTTTGTCTTAACCCTTTCATCGCTGTAGACCATAATGGAATCATCCAGATCAAAGCATGATAGAGTCTACAAAAGTTGCATAGGGGTGAAAGGGTAAAGTCTTGACCTAGATCTTACAATAATGCCTGAAACACGAATTTTCCCCTGCATTGTTTAATTTGCAGTTGAATCCTTCCATGGAAAATGCAAATACAATACTCCCACAAAAATTACCTGTTATATAGTAATTTAAATAAAATTTAAATTAATTAAAAACTTTTTTCATTTGAACATTTCTGTAAACTTATAACCACATTGAATGATCTGGATTCCTAACCCTTCGACATTCACAACACGCAGGACAGTCATGGTGGCTAAGCAGTTACTAACATCAAGACACGCATGGTGAGGTTTCCGGTGGCATGTCAAACTCGTAGTCCGTCTCCTGACAGTCATCGGGCACAACTTCCCTAACCTTTGACCCCTGGTTAACAGGGTCATCTCGTATATTCAGTTTATGCATACCAGAGTTGTCTTTCCCTAGCTCTGAGCCCCGATTAGTGAGGACGTTGCCTTTTTGGTTATCACAATCGCATTTATTGTCATTGTACGTGCTATTGAGCATTGGTTCCCCAACTAAACTATTCTCACACTTTAACCCTGCTATACCTGCTCTTTCTGGTTTCACACTACCTATATCACTGCTAATTTCGGCCTCTTTATCCTGCACAGATGTGGGAGTGCCATCCGATAAGTCTCCTTCTGACTGAGCTTGCTCAGTGGAGTCAGAATTTGAATTGCTCCGCCCGAGGGTATCCTCGGAAACCTCGGACATTGTTTCGGACGCAGCTTCCTCACTCGACAGTTTCACAAGCTCATCCAGAAAGCCAAATTGTAGCTCTGCCGGGTTCTCCGTACTTTCTGTGTTGCTAGCCTGGCGGGACATCTCGCACATACCGCTTTCCGTCAGCGAGATCCCAGCGTCACTAGTGGAGACGCCTGCATCGCTAGTGTGGTGCTCCTCTATAGCAGGTGTGGTAATAGACTGATTCAGCTGGCAACCGTCCTTATAGAAATCCTGAAATATATGATTATAATAATAATTTGAGGTTCTTATATACTGCTTTATCACAACCTAGTGAGTAGGACATTTCAAAGCGGGAGTAAAGTATCTTGCTCGATGATACAACACAATGCCGTGATGTGACTCAAACTAGCAACCCTTCGGTCACGAACCAGGCGTCCTACCACTAGACTACTGTGCCTCCTAAATACATCATTTGTCATGCCGTGGTATTAAAGAATATTTCCCCATTTCTATGATGTAAGATATATGCTTTGTATGAGAACTTCCTATGTGCATTTATAATTCCTGGTCAGTAATGCGAGTGTTGGTTTTGCAATGTCAAGGTCCTGAGTTCAACCCCTGCAGTTTTTCTGGTGGTAAAATGCATCACCACATCTGATTTTACGGATAATATTTCTTTTGAAAAAGACTTCAGCAAATATTTCTCAATAGTGACAATGGCCATATATTATGTAATACAGTTCATCTACCATGATGCTTTCTTGGGTTCCAAATTTTAAGAAGGCTAGGGTTTACCTAGCTTCTTCCACTGAAAATAAAAACTTATTATGTCATCAGCATTATCTATCAGTTGGAGAAGTTGACTTTACCTTCCGAGCTTGCAACTGCTCCAAGGAAGCCGGTATTTCGGAATGATTTGAAGGCGCATTCAGGTTTAGAGAGGCAAACTGGGAAAATATCTGAGGTGTGTGTGTCACAGGCTTTGTCTGGAAAAAAGAAACAAGCTTAATGTGAGGGTCTAAACTCAATCTTCAAATTTTGAATATTAAAGTAATATACTGCATTTATCCTCCAATAAGCCCTAGGGGTCAAAACAAACTGTTTGTCTCTTTGTAAATGTAATATATTCGGGTACAAATCCTGGCGGACCTGCAAATGTTTATGCAGGCCTTGCAAGGCATTGTCAAGGCTTGCCTGAAAGCAGCATCAGATTACTAGGTTCGACCTTATTTCATAAACGAACAACAACTCTGGTCAAACCCAAAAATTGCGATCCAATCAGGTTGAACGGATTTGACCAGAGTTATTCATTTATGAAATAAGGTTGAACCTGTTCAAACCTGTTTGGATCGCAATAAACGAATGCGGCCATAATCTCTGACTAAAAAAAGGGAGGTGTGTATATAATATAGGAAATGAAATAGCATTTGTTAACATTTTTATTTAGCTGTAACAGATATGAGAGGGCTAATTCTAGACATGGGCTTTTTGTTGGAAAAATACGGTATTAATGTAATAGCTTTTCTTTCATCAGATTTTGATAAACAACTTGATAGCTAAATATTTATATTTGCTCTGCATCCTTTCATTGTAATGCATTGCGAAGGTAAATGTTGTTATGAGACTATAACAACATTTGCTATTGTAACGTCATCAATCTCTATTGTGACGTCATCAATTTCATTGTTGTCAACGCCTGATTTGCGGTTCAAAAACTGTATGAAATAAGTAAATAAAGAATACTTACTCTATCAAAATGTAAATATAAATAATGAATATTTTAGCAAACATTGTTATGGTCCTATATATAACACACGTTTCTATTGCTGACAAACTTACATAAGGCCCGGTTACACAAGCTAGCTAAATATTCCCCACCACCAAATGGTTCCATGTTATTACCCAGAGACTTGGGTTGGGGCTAGGAGGCTGATCCTAGCAGCTTGATGTCCAGCAAAAATATATGTAGTTTTAGAGTGAGGATCTTAGAAATTTCTGAATAAAAGAACGATGAAATTTTCTTATCTTCATTTCAGCTATTAGGTTGAATCCCTCTGACCTGACAGGGGCCACACCCTTCATATATAGAACACTGTCCCAAGTATGCTCTGGATTAAATTTGGTCATAATCCCTAAGTCCATACAGAAGAAGGAGAAGGATTTTAAATACTTACCACCTTTCCTTCATTGGAGCCAGCCATTCTGCCCTCAAAGGGGCCACACCCATAGTTCATGTAACATTAAAACCCCTTAGTACAACAATACTCCAGATTTTTTAAAATCAAAAACCCTTAATCTCTAAAGGATATGGAGTTAACGCTTTTTCCGCCCTACCCTCCCCCTCAAGTTACACCCGGAGTTTATACATCAAGTCAACTTGTTCAAAAGATGCTCCAGATAAAATTTAGTTAAAATCCTTCGCCCATACTAAAGGTATAGGATGATCAAGAGTTATCTATATTTCCCCCATTTGGACCTCTCTTCCCTGCCTGTAGTAGCCCCCCCCCCTAATTTATTCAACACCAAACCCCCCTTGGTCCACGGATGCTCCAAATTTCTTCACGACTAGTGTTATAAAGTGAGAGTTTGATGGAGAACAAACGACCAGACAACTGATGCTGCGCTATGACTTGAATTCACTCATCTTTTGGAACAGTTATATATCCTAAGATCCATTACTGCAAACTTACAACAGATGATAAACGTTTGCCCTTTTTGCTGAGGCGGCGTTTTCCGGAACGACGACCCGTCCCAGGATACTCTGAATCCTCCTCTGTCTTGCGTCTAAGCACATACATTCCCTCCTCAAGTTCAGCTGCTAGTTCAGCGGAACAGTTAGAGGACGACAAATCTACAAGCAAACCAAAAGTATGACATGCTTAAATTTGTTGAAAATCTGTTTTTTGTTTTCACAGAAGCAATTTCCTGTCGCAAGGTTTAGTAGATCCAGATTTTATGTCTAGACTATTGAAAATAAAATATCTCTACTGCAATTTTTTGTTTATATAAAAAAATATACTTTATTTATATTAACAATTTAGAAACAACAATTTAGAAACAAGTTATTTCAACTTATATTAATCATTCTTGTTGGCCCGGATGTTAGCGCGCAGGGGTCTTAATGTGAGAGGAAACAGGAGTACCTGGGTAAAAACCCAGGTGGTCGGGCAGGTATTCCCATACATTTTCACGTTCGATCGGGGAATCGAACCCCAACCGCCTTGGTGAAAGGCAAGTGGGCTATCCGCTGCACAACACAAGCACTCACTTGTTTGTTTGGGATTTAACGTCCTCATAACAGACAGGGTCATAGGAGGACGGGTGCCTAGGGAGACAACAGTCAGGGTCATGGGAGGACGGGTGCCTAGGGAGACAACAGTCAGGGTCATAGGAGGACGGTATCTTTACTGTGAAAATATGCCATGCTAGCGGCTTTTTTCCCTCTTTCTTTTTTTTGTACAATAAAATCATCAACACTTCTAAATGTTTATATTGTTGTGAATCCCTTCAAAACTCATGCATCATTGTTACCATTTGTCAAATGATCGAAGAAGGGTTGTTGATCAATCATAAAATGAAATGAAACGGAGAAGCCTTCATCGAAATAGGTAAAATGTGGTAGATTCTAAATACCTATCTGGGCAGAAATGTTGTCTGAGTGCTGTTTATGATAAAAGCTTTAAGTAAAAGTGTTTGTTTATAAGAAGTTTTCAGGTCTGCTCCAAATCTCAATAATCCTTCAAAATGTTCATGTTATATTAAAACCAACATCAATCACAGAAACTCACGATTGAGTAGTCATAGTCGGAGGTAAAGCAACTAATCATCGAATAAATTAGGGGTGTCTCAATACGCCAAGAGTGTATCACAATATAATGTTGCAATACAGAATGAATATATCGCGATACGTTTCCCGATATATTGTCATAGGTAGGATGTGCTTGATTTTATAATAAGTTGTTGTCAGAATGTTATCAAACTTAATCATATATAATATGGATCACATAGATTTAAGATTTTTAACCATCGATTACAAAATTTGAACTAATTCCCACCACTATTAAAAGTTTGTTTTATTCTTATTGGCATATCTGTTAGAATTTGTAGTAATTTGCAAAGTTAAAACACCAAGCAGAATAAGATACATAAAAATAAGCTTTTAAGTAATATCGCTATACAGCAATTTTTCATCTCTGTATTGTGGTACAATACAATATACCCGTGTACTGTGATATAACTGTTTTCCGATAAACTGTGACAGTCCTATCTTCTAGACCCTTGAAACAGTCATAGTATTAAGAACACACACACCATTGACAATGTGTCTACGATTCCCTATGGCCAAGAAAGTTTTACTTACATATTTAGTGCTTGATATCTTAAAATTAAGAAATTGTTGGTACACGTAATTAACAAAGGTAAAACAGAAAACAATTCCCACAGACATTCAAAGTCAATGATAATAATCATGAGAATTTCACAATATATTTCCCATATAAAATACATTTATAGTGTGTTTCTGTTTAAAATGAGCCAAATTTAAATCTGTTCTCAGAGAGANATTTATCTCTGTATTGTGGTACAATATGATATACCGGCATGTTTTCTGATATATTGTGACAGCCCTAGAATATATCAATAGGAATAACACTAATGCTTATGTACAAATTGTTTTCTTTTTCATCAAAAGGGTCGTCACATTATCACGATTTTCACCAATAAACAGTTACGCGCTAAACTTACGACCTTGGAGTGTATACTCACTAAGACCCTTGCCAGCGGGTGGTTCGTCCTGAGGCAGGTCGTCTTGGTTCTGTATATACTTCTGTAGGTAGTATATGAGGGTATTGCACAGATTGATTTCGTCTGCATAAGGCTCCCTCTGTACAGCGTACTCCTCCCTGCAACAAAACACAGCATATTACACAAGTTCTTGGTTTTGTAGTAATTATTAATTAAGTGCCATTTAATTTGAGATGACATTAAACTAGGGTTGTCAACAGTAAACCGGTTTCCTGGTTACATGGCTGGATAGCCTCAAACCAGTCGCAAATTCCATAGTCAGATATCATATTACTTCTACCGAATTTTGACCCCAATGAGCCGGTGAAAGTGTAGACCCCAAATAAGTAGGTGAAGGTATACATCCCATTGAGCAGGTGAAGGTATAGACCCCAAAGAGCCGGTGAAAGTTTAGACCCCAATGAGCCTGTGAAAGTTTAGACCCCAATGAGCCGGTGAAGGTTAAGACCCCAATGAGCAGCGGAAGGTTAAGACCTCAATGATTAGGTGAAGGTATAGACCCCAATGAGCAGGTGAAGGTATAGACCCCAATGAGCCGGTGAAAGTTTAGACCCCAATGAGCCGGTAAAGGTTTAGACCCCAATGAGCCGGTGAAGGTTAAGACTCCAAAGAGTAGGTGAAGAATTTGACCCCAATGAGCAGGTGAAGGTAAAGACCACAATGAGAAGGTAAAGGTTTAGACCCCAATGAGCAGGTGAAGGTATAGACCCCAATGAGCCGGTGAGAGTTAAGACCCCAATGAGCCAGTGAAGGTTTAGACCCCAATGAGCCGGTGAAAGTATAGACCCCAATGTGCAGGTGAAGGTATAGACCCCAATGAGCCGGTGAAGGTATAGACCCCAATGAGCCGGTGAAGGTATAGACCCCAATGAGCCGGTGAAGGTATAGACCCCAATGAGCCGGTGAAGGTATAGACCCCAATGAGCCGGTGAAGGTATAGACCCCAATGAGCCGGTGAAGGTATAGACCCCAATGAGCCGGTGAAGGTATAGACCCCAATGAGCCGGTGAAGGTATAGACCCCAATGAGCCGGTGAAGGTATAGACCCCAATGAGCCGGTGAAGGTATAGACCCCAATGAGCCGGTGAAGGTATAGACCCCAATGAGCCGGTGAAGGTATAGACCCCAATGAGCCGGTGAAGGTATAGACCCCAATGAGCCGGTGAAGGTATAGACCCCAATGAGCCGGTGAAAGTATAGACCCCAATGTGCAGGTGAAGGTATAGACCCCAATGAGCCGGTGAAGGTATAGACCCCAATGAGCCAGTGAAGGTATAGACCCCAATGAGCCGGTGAAAGTATAGACCCCAATGTAGGTGAAGGTATAGACCCCAATGAGCCGGTGAAGGTATAGACCCCAATGAGCCGGTGAAGACTAATCAAACACACTTCTTTTTTTGTCCTAAAAAAGCAGTGTTGTTCTGGTAATCTATCAGTATGTCTGAAGTTTAACTTAATACTGTAACAAGGGCAAATAATCATTATAACAAAAAATAGTAGTAATAATTATAATTTGAGGTTCTTATATACCGCTTTATCACAACCTAGTTTGTTGGTCATCTCAAAGCCATTCACAGATTATTATTGTCCATGGTTGTATGGCCTTTGCAATCAGCCAATATCTTTCTCAACTCCCTGGGCTGGTGAGCATACAGCCAGAGCTGTCATTTCAACGCTAAGAGCTAGCATTCAACTATTCTAGCACTGCCCAACCACGTACTCATTTACAGCTGAGTAGACTTGAACAAGCAGAGTAAAGTGTCTTGCTCAAAGATACAACACAGTGCCGTGCCGTGACTCGAACACGCAACCCTTCGGTCACGAGCCTGGCGTCCTACCACTAGACTACCGTGCCTTCTAGTAGACAACATGATATACATAGTTATAAAATGAGAAGGGCAAAATAAACACTGACTGAATCTAGATTTTACCCGCGAAAGTCAAAAGTTTGATGGGGCAAACATTTCTCAGTATACAGTAGTAAAAATCGACACAGAGATGCCACCAATAATCTCAAGTCTGATCATATTTTAACTCATTCACCCCTACATATTCAAACTGGACTTGCCCAGTCTTTGTTTTGGTTAGGTTCAAATGTGACTTTGGGGTGAATAGGTTAAAGGGGTAACAGAAGGCAAAGTTCTGAAATGCTAACTCTGCCAAGTAGGACTTGATTTTTCAGGTTGGGCATCAAATATGTTAAATGATCTACAGAACGAACATTTGAATATCAGTGAAACCCTTGAAAAAGTACCCAAATTCACATTTGCCAACACTGTGTTGTATCTTTGAGCAAGATACTTTACTCCGCTTGTTCCAGTCTACTCAGCTGTAAATTATTATGTGGTTGGGCAGTGCTAGAATTGTTGGATGCTAGAGCTCTGTGAGCGCCGAAATGGCAGCACCGGCTGTATGCTCCCCAGGGAGTTGAGAAAGATATTGGCTGGTTGCAAAGGCCCTATAACCACGGATAATAATTTGAGAACAGCTTTGAGACGCCCTACGAACTAGGTTGTGATAAAGCGGTATATAAGAACCTCAATTATTATCATTATTATTATAATTTCCACATAGATTCGAGTAAAAATAACTACTGCAGTGTTCTTGTGGCGAGACTTTGACCTTTCATGGTAATCAATTAATAAGCTGTGTTAACTCATTCACCCCTGAAGACACGTTTGAACTCTTCCAATTCATAAGTTAGAATAGTTCATTTTGAAATTTCAGGGGTGAATGAGTTAAGAACGTTGTGAGAAATTTCATAAACAGGAAGCATATTTTTGGTAGTATTATCAAGTTGACCGATTAACAGGTTACTACATCCAAAGATATTTCTAATAACCAGTAACTAAGATTCGACCAGTTTGACAACCCTACAATATACCTGTGTGATGTTATCTAGCATGATTTGACATGTTATCCAAATGTATATGATTTACTAGAAAAAAAAAGAAAAAAAAAATCATTTTAAAATTATCTATGCAGAAAGAATTCCTAAACATTTTTATTTGTGAAGATTTAAGTCCAAACTATTAAGACAAAGTGGACTGTTTTTCTTCGGTGTGGAGAAAATAGAAAACTTGTGCAGATTTTGAATACATATGCAGTGGAGAAAATCTGACACACGTTTTTCTTTTCTCCGCCAGAAAATCTGGTCTACTTTCATTGTTTTTATAACAAGTCTCTTAAAACTTACAACGATTTTTGGAATGCCTCCATTTGAGAACATGGTTCCTCCTTTTTCTTTACAATTTCTTTTCGTTTCTGTCGTCGAATTTCACCCTTGACCTCAACATAATCCTTCTCTTGTTGCTTAAAATCTTGCACCATGCGCCGCTTCATGTCATACAGATTATCAAGCTCTGGAAAAATAGAATGATAAAAAGATGTAAAACAAATATTTTCTTCGTATTTCAAGTACATCAGGGCCCACTTGTATAAAACATCTCAAAGTTAAGGAAAATCCAAAGCAATGTATTGTCTATGGGAAATCTTACGACTTGAGGAAATCTCAAGTGTTGAGATATTTTATACAAGTGGGCTCTGGTATTTTGAAATTTTATAGCAAAGAATTGAAGTATTCTTTAGTTTGGAAATGAGCTAAATTGTTGCAAAAAGTTTTAACAGTATTTTCAAGGATTATAGGAAAAGATTTGTTAACGACCATGCTGTCAGCCTGAGGGTATTTTGTATTTACACATGATGCAAATCTCAGAAATTTGTTCAAAATAAAATTACTTCTTTTAAATTTACACAGTTTTATCCCCATGCTACTGCTACCGTGGAAGTGTGTGGTATTTTCATTGAGTGATAAAAAGTTAATTTTCTGATTTTTCACAATTTCGTCACCTCATAAAGAATGTAAAAATCTTCAGTAATGAGGGAAAATTAATCCTCAGAGCCAAAATTATTAAACAACATAATACACAAAGCCGTCAAATAGAAGAGCAAAATTAACACTGAGCATAAATGGAGTTTGCCAGTGTAGGGAAAAAGTTTGACATGGCAATAGTTTCCCAGTATATAGCATATACTTGCTCAACTCATTCACCCCTTAAATTTTATAGTGTACTATTCCAAAGTTTGAATTGGAAGAGTTCAAATGTGACTTCAGGGGTGAATGAGTTAAAACACCTGATATGCATACAGTATACTATTGTTTTTGTTTGTTCTATATAAAAATTATAATACCTTTCTTGAGGGTGTCCTTTCGATGTTTCTTTTTGTGCACCACATCTTTATGTTCATCTTCTTTGCGGCGGAGCTGGTTAACAAACGTTTGTAAACTCTGTTGACAAAAAAAGCAAGAAGTCAACAGTGAAATGATAGTCACTAAAAGAATTCAAACCTAGAAATCGCTTTGACATAAAAACACATCCTACGTGCTACATTTATGTTATTTATTTATCTCTCTTTCTATGGTCAAGAGTAACAAAAGGCATTAAAATTATGTATGTTTTCCTTCATAAATACTAAGGCTACATTCACGTATCTGGTTGAAACAGTTGAACCTGTAAAGAAAACGACAGACACAGACCTGAACCGAGGCTGACCTCAAGAATATGCGGCACGTGTAGATTGAGGGGTCCAGACGTACCTGACCAAAACTTAAATACTGACTATTGCTAGTTTGCGTTATTTCTTTTTAAAACAATGTCAAGCCACATGTATTTTTTTTAAGATACGTTATGTAAATCAGTGGACGCTTGAAAAAAGGGCATAATATTCTTGATACATTGTTATTTATTCTCCGAAACCATGCATTTTTAGCTCTGCTTATAGAACAGTCCAAATGCGTTTGTTTATCGTGGAATATTTCTGCGCCACCTGTACCATTTCAACCCGGATACGCGAATGTATCCCAAGCTTTGGTAGGAATGCAGTGAAAATGGTGTTTTTGTTTTACATATTTTTATTACTGTAACTCCTTTTCATCAGTTTTAACAGATTTACGTATTTATATGTTGCATACATTGGCATAGATATTGTACTTTACAAGATGTTAAACATTACTTGCAAGCACAAATGCCTTATCCTAACCAATAGTGTTGGGAATACGAAGCATAAATCATAATCGATTTTCGGAAGACTTTTAATGAACGACTATCGATTATAAGTCTTCATACGACTATCGATTATAATCGGAACATCTGATCTCTGATAAATCTATTTGAAATATGTGTAATTATGATAAGAATTGGGATTTGCAGCATACAGTAATTTTGCCATTTAAAATCAAAGGCTGACTTGGTTTATCCATTTGACAGTCTTTAGGTTTTTACACTTTTAGTTTTAACCTACTACTAGAATTTGAGTAAGAGTAAATCTGACAGATATCAACAGAAAACAGCATGCAACATTTAAACCGATGAATTGATGATGAAATTTATCAATCGATTAATTGGAATTGGTTAATCGATTATCGGAACACTACGAACTAATAAGCCAATCATACAATAATACATAATACCCTTACACATACATGTATATACCTTACAAAATACTGAGTTTCACTATTGGCAAAGACCCAGATGACACTTTAAAGCAATTGATAAAACGTTGCTTACATCACGTTCCTCTCGCAGACTTTTCTGCTTGCTCCGCATGTCGTCATTCTCCTTCTTAAGTGCTAAGAAATCCCTGTTACAAGTCGCAAGGATGAAATAACATAATACAAGCATCAAATGACAAATTTATAAAATATGACCTATTAATTATAACATCCTTAACTCATTCACCCCTGAAGACATATATGAACTCTTCCAATTCAAAGGTTGGAATAGTTCATTATGAAATTTCAGGGGTGAATGAGTTTGAATCATTTAATTAGTGGGAGATATCTGATAATACTGTAGGAAATGGATCCATTATTTTTTAAATAAAACTTAATACATGTATAAATTATGACAGGTTTTGAAACACGATACAAAATGTTAATGGTACTCTACCAGCCAGTTTATTATCTGTTAATATATATAAAATTATGTATCTTTTATATCAACTATCAAGTTGAACTATGGACTGGAGGAATGAAAGGCTCATAGCTTTGGGAAATTCACTGACTTTGAATATGACAAACAAAGAATTTCACGTTCAATATGGTCAATTTTGAAGAACATTTTTACAACTGTGACTTTTATTTCTTTACAGAAAACTACTAAATGATCTCAAATACAGCCAGAAGACATTTTCTTTTTTGTTCCATTTTGAATCCTTCCTTCTGAGACTTTTCCATAGTTACAGGAAAAATTGTCCATTTTGACCCCAAAAGATGTGAAAATCTCAAATCAAACGTGAACTTACCGTAAGACTTTTTTTGAGCGTTTCAGGCTATTTATTTCAGTGACGATCTTCTTTTCCTCAGAGAGCTTAAAATTCTGATTCTTAAGCAGGGAATCAAGTCTTCTGCAAAATAAGTTTATTCTAACTAGGTTATAACTGTTCTAATTAATTAGTACATTTGTATTGGCGAAAATAACTTCTACAGATACATTTTATTATTTAGATTTGGTTATAACTCGGGGCCCTAGCTTCGTCTGTCAAAACACCTTTTTTTTTTTTTTTAATAATCAAGATTGCGAAACACCACTACCCTAGTAAAATTGTCCTGTTCAAGAAAATATGTGATTGTCTCATTAACGTTTATAAATACTATCACTCTGAGAGCAGTCTCAATACTTGTATTTACATCTGAGGCTCTAAACCTGTGGTTACACCTGTGCACCCTAATTGATAATTCATACGTATTAAATGTATTAAGTCTATAATGGTTCAACTATTGATGGACAAACCCGAAGTAATAAACAAGAGGTACAAGGGGCCAGTTTCACTCCTTTGCTGTTCATTATCTTATTAAATAAAACCAATGAGAGGTTCATAGAAAACTTTGTCCCGAATTCTTAGATTTTGAACCAGCCCCAAAATTATATAACCTCCACTCAGTCATGGCCATAGATTTCTCATTGCAAATATCGCTGCTGTATTTTGCTTTTGATCAAACTTACGTTATGGAATGGTCAATCCGGTCCTCGCTCTTGTAATGTAGAGCGGATTGCAACCGGTCTAGTTCCCCCTTCTGAATGAGGAAAAAGAAATACTCCAATATCAGTCTATATATATATGCCTAAAATTCTCATGATAATTGTATATATATCAGGGTTTTGACAGCAGAAAAATTATCATAATACCGGTATATATTAGTTTATTACAGGGTTTTGACAGCGGAAAAATCATCAACTTCTACACAATAATTTGATCTTGAGGATTATGGCCTGCTTACAAAAGGAATTTCGACTATAGACTGTCAACTGACAATTTGACCAGCATGTTTTTATTTTTTCCTACTTTATCCACATTGAAAATAGCTTCAATTTAAGCTGTTCACTCGGATCATGGACACACATGTGGGTGATATAATGACGCCATGTGATGAAATCGGAAAAGGTACCAATAATGGTGAAACAAAACACAATAAAGAATTCAAAACATGTAATTGGGTCTCCCAAAGGAGCTGGAGAGAATATATGTCTGGAGTCATAAATGTAGATAGCAGGAATCTACGATGATTACCGATGAAAATACAACAGTATTCAGCTCCATCATTGAAGGTGAACACAAAGATTCGAAAAAAAGGAGCATCAACATTTAGATTTAACATTTTACTTTTATATGGTTTATATGGTTTATATGGTTTATATGATGTTTCTAAAATATCCAAAGCTAACTATCACTCAAGCTTTCAGAGGGTAATAAGGATGGCTAGCCTAGCCTAGGTATAGCTGCAACACACATATATATATATCGTAAAATACAGAATCTAGATGTTGTTTCTCCATATTTTCTATTTCATGTGAATTATACCTTTTTTGAGATGTCCGAGTTCAGGGTTTTAACTTCATGCTCAATGTGTTTTAGTCTGTCTATATGAGCACTCTTCTCGGATCGCATCGTACGGAGGCCATTTTTGTGCGTGTCATCGCTCAGGTGCTGTGTAATTGACTTCTGTGTAGTTGTCAAGGTCATAAAGCAAAAATCTTGCCATTATTGCTGATTGCAGCAGGACATACCTTGACAGTAGGTTTTTTACTTTCCAAAATTAGCTTCGACTTACGAGTTTGGAAAGACATATATCTAGTTGATATTTATGAAATTAAAATTTATCTTAATATTTTACAACGATTGCGAAACAAGTTCTAACATTTTATATTAATCACTCTTGTTGGCCTGGAAGGTAGCTTGAAGGGGGCTGAAACCAGAGAACTAGGAGAAAAATCATGTGGTCAGGCAGGTGCCATGACCACGTAACGTTTCATGTCCAATCAGGGAATCAAACTACGACCGTCTTGTTGAAAGGCTAGCTAGTGCACTATCCATTGTGCCACCTGACTACACAATCTATTTGACATGTGTGTGTCTTGACCCTCCATTTAATTATGTTTGAGGGAAAAAGTTATTTGACTTCTCAAAATGCTAAATGCCAACGGTCAACTGAGAGCCTTGTTGCCATGAGGTACAACTTTATTAACAGGTAAAGGTGGATTTTTTTTAAATATTTTCATTCAGATTTTAACATCAACCATAAAAAGTAGCTACTAGAAGGTTCTTTGTAAAGATAACTTCTGCAGTGTTTTCCCAAAATCGATACCAAAATCTTTGTATTCTCCCAAAATCATCTATTTTGTGTGATATCTTCCCAAATATCAGATCTTTTGATCCATGTGCGACATGTGTGTGAAAGTGACGATTTGTTTCTAAAATATCAGTTTGAAGTGCGACCCGGGCGTGGGTTGCTTATTTCCTGCATATTATAGAGGGCCGGAGTTCTGACGTTAATCGACGACAGACCGATATAAAAAAGTTGATAAAACGTCAGAATAATTCGGACAAAAGGCACATGTCCCAGCTATCATAAGGATTTTTTTTTAAACTTCCAACAATATTTATGAAAAAATTGCAACAGATATTAAAATATTAACCACCAATTCAACTATATTTCAAAAAGGAGATAAATATGAATATTTCCAATTAGAAAACCAGATGGATATCAATATTTCTAATTAAAATATCAATGTGTACATGGAATCAAGAATTTTTCTTTATAATTGACATACTGATAGCACAAAATTGTTACAGCTCTATTAAATAGGCAGAAAGGATACCAGCTCAGCTTCCTTTTCCTTGATAGTGTTTTGGAGTGCTTCTAGTTCCTCTTCATACCGTTTCTTGTTCGGTGGTCTAGCCTTCCTCCCACTGGAATCTAGGGAGCTTGTTGACGATCCTGAAATAACAAGAGGATACAGTCATTATCCCTCGCTCTGTAGGCAAGTCAGGATTAGATGCTGAGTTATAATGTAGCATATATGATACAGGTCGCAGTACAAAATTTTGGTGTACACGTTCAAGACACTGAATAAACAGCTCCCCGGTATTTATAGGAGCTTGTCACCGCTTATCAGCCATCACAATCACTGGGGTCGGAGACAGAATCATTGTTGCGTGTCCAAAAATCGTGTACTGTGACTTTTGGAAACTGGTATTTTGGTTGCGGCCTCAGTGTGGAAAAGCTTCCCATCTTCTACCAGGAAGTAAAAAACACTGGCAAAATTCAAGAAGGATAAAAAAGACCCACAATTTTACATCTGCATTTTAGGCTCTTTTGCGCAGACCTCATGTATACTCCAGTTAACTCCACACTATAGTATATATTGATATGCATATGGTGATAAATGTCTTTTTACCCGATGTAAAATTCTGATTTGATATGCCTTTTTTATCTACTATATTTTTAACTGTCCCTGTAGGAATACTCTTTATTCATGTGCTGTAAAGCACCTTAGGAAAATTCTGCAAATTATATAGGGTGCTATACAAATGTTTATTATTATTGTTATACTATACAACTGTGAAAGGTAAAATGTAATAATAATAACAATATACAACATTTGATATAGCACCCTATCTAGCCAATGAAAGCCACTCTAAAGCCCTTTACAGTACATAGATATATACATACAATTAGCATGTACTAATATATATATATATAATCAATACAATTCTGAGGAATTCGCAGGAGCTGCCTGATCAGGGGCTTACTTCTAGTCCTATGCCACCTGGCTAATATCTCCCTATATGTGTATGCCTCTGTGTACTTTGTGCTGGAGACATAATGTGTAGGTTAACTGTGGAAAGTATTATCCACATCGCATTTAGTTACCAAGATATGGAGTTAATGATTCTTCTTGATGCTGACCCTTTAAATTGAAATGTATAACTAATTCAACATCAACAACAGGTGTTCAGTTAAGCAACCTTAGTTACATCACTGATGTAAGTATTAACTCATTCACCCCTAAAGACACATTTGAACTCTTCCAATTCAAAGGTTGGAATAGTTCATTAGGAAAGTTCAGCGGTGAATAAGTTTATAACCATGTTAAGAGTTACCGGGTCAGAGCTAGACTTAAAAAATATTTATTATGACAGAATATTAAGGTAGGCACTGAAGCAAAAAATGTAGCAGGTAGGTGAAAACAACATCCAAAATACTGTATTTTATTCTGCCCATCACACTACCAGTCAGTGCCACACCCACTATTCTCAAACCTGGAGAGAACACTGCATGTAGTACATGTGTACTGGTTTTCCAAGATACATGGGCTTTTCTGACTTCCTTTTTTTCAATTAACCCTTTCACCCCTATGTAACTTTAGTAGACTCTACCATGCATTGATACGGAGGAGTCCATTATGGTCTACAGTGGTGAAAGGGTTAAGGAGGTCAGTGAAGCATATGTATATATATAGGTCAAATTCAGCATTCAAACTATATATGTATTCAGTAAAGTGGTTTTATAAGCTGAATCATTGATGCAAGTATTATTCATACAGCAGTTGGAGTTACCCAAACATGGAATTAACCATTTCTTTCTTACATATGATTCTCATGGAATATTAGGGAAGACAAATTCTGCTGGACAGCTATTAAATGATAAGTTTCAGAAGACCTTGTCTTGCTATGGCCTGGGCCATACAATGTATAGGCCAAAGTTTACTGTCTAACATTGTAACAAGGGTTGGTTTGGTTAATAAGTATTGTTTAACGTCCTATCAACAGCTATCTATGGTCATTTAAGGACGGCTGTGGTTTATCAGGGTACTTTTGGGTCCTTTATAAGGACCCATTCCCAACTGAAAAATTGTATGATTTTCCCATTTAGCCCCTTAAAAAATCCCAATTGTTAAACTCAAGAAATAACTGCATCAATACAGATAAATTACTCACAGTCGTCTTGACAGAGTTCTCAGAATATAGCACAAACTAGAAGTACTCCTATAACATAAGAGGCTGCTGGTCGGTCTTTTTTCTATCGGATATGATTTTGCCAACTGTTACACGCATTTTTTGTCATAAAGATAGGCTTACACCTCCAATTTTCCTAAGATGGTTCTTATGCTGTTGGTATTCTCACAATTCAGCCAATGCAGGGTCCATTTCCCAAAACCCTGCTAACTGATGTTGACCACTGCGTAAACTTAATTTTGGATTTCTGAACTTAGTTGATTCTGAACATTAAAATAATTTCCATTAAATTTTAAATCCAATATTTTACATTGCCTTTTATATTTACAAGAGCTCGAAAGAATATTTAGGTTGGAGGGTTTAGAAGGTTGGAGGGTTTAGAAAAATTGATCAAGAATTTTGGCAGACTGGTGGTGTTGCGTCAACAACCAACATTGCAGTAAAAAACTGAAATATGAGAAAAATCTCTATAATTTGCAACCTGCTTAACCTTACGAAGGTATCAGTGCCCAACACATTTTTCCCATGTCATGAGAAGGTTTTGGTGAGCATCGGGTTCAGAAATATGTTACATCAGCAGATTCTTGGTTGGCTGCCAAAAGAATTGCTAGAGACAAGGTAAACAGTGCCAATGTTTATAATATTGCTAACCATCGGGCCGATGGTTATTTTGGCCTACATGTAACATGAAAACACACCAGACGATCGAACAGGAATGTCAGTGTGAACATTTTGACATATTGTGCAATACTCTGTAGAGCAACGTGACATAACGATACACATTATCCAGATATCGGGATAAGTTAAAAAAAATTGATCAAGAATCATGAACTATAATCGAAGATAAATTTGTAAAATGTTTTGTAAATATTTTGGATTGCATGCTGTTTGGGGCGTGGTAATAACGCAAAATTTCAGTTAACATCTCGTGTGTCAAAACAAGTCACAGCTATTTACGTATCCAATGACTCAGCCTATTGAGGAAACTCCCTCTCACACGAAAAAAATAGCATTGTTTGTCACGTTTCGGTCGAATCATATTGGCATTTGTATCTGCATCTTACCAAGAAGTTGGTTTTCTGGGTCCACATTAGTGGACTCCGGTGAGTCCCCCATTTTGCACACATTAGAAACCACGGATCGTGGTAGCGTTGTCTTAAAATAAATCCCCGAACTTCCTGTCCGTAGTCACACGTCAGGCATCGGGAGCCATGATGGATATTTGCTCACATGACTCTGACGTCACAAATCAATGTGGAAATTCAACATCCCCAAGGTCGCTTCCCTACGTGCAATTTATAAGCGGTAAATGAGCGCGCAGACTAGATCATTTCTGCAAAGAAAACATACATTTGTTTTGTATGCATTTAAAATGTTTTTAATATTTAATTATCGTTAAATTTAATACACAGGTATTCTCTGCGTTTGACATTTTACGCTATTGGAGAGCACTTGTTGTATACATTCTATGATATTCCTACGCTGCGGTTACGGGCACTCTTTAAAAATAAAATATAATAATGAATAAGATTTTTTATATAATCAAGTATAAGCAGTTTAAGTTATTCCTTATGTACGAAACTAATTGGGAGTGACATTAATGACTTTTATGATTTATTGCAAAAATATAATAACATTATCATGTTGCACTATTTTGTTATGCCTCTTAATTTCACCGTAATTTGGTCATTATTTCGAACTGCATGTTTGGGCGGGAAAACAAAAGAGACGCCATTTTTGTTGGATAGGCGCACAGACGGTATCAACAACGATAATATTATGTGGGATTACACGTTATGTTCATGTGACCACCCTCCAGATCCTTCAGTCTGATTGACGTATTCGATATTTGTTTGTAATATGCTGTTATAAATTATTGGTAAGTAAGCGGAGTCGTAGAAGCATTATAAATGACGCTTTTAGCACATAGTAAGTTCCTGTATTGAAATCCACAAGCGTCGTACAAATCAATATTGTGTAAAGTTGTCGGATTCTATCGTGCATCACTTTATTACATTAAGGAGCTGTTATACTTCGTATGTTATCAGTCGACTTACTGTTCTATTGTGGTATAATGTGTATGCGTACGTCTCCGTAACGCTAAGCATTATGCATTTTCCATGCATTCTCGGTACTGTAGGTTGACCTACTTTCAAGAAACTGACAACAACGCTATTCGTTAGCATGTTTCCTGTATAAAGTATGTCAACAGCGGGTTTTTTTAACGAAAGTTTTCCACAGACAAGGATAAATAACTAGAAGCCTAATGTTGACTCTCCTTTAACCACATTACGAACATATCGATGAGGATGCAATGCAACTGTCGAACAGAGTCCTGGAAAGAAAGATAACTCCTGGGAATTTTAAAATCAAGTCAATCCTGTTGCTCTTTGACATTGGGTCACATTTACAAGCAAGTGTAAAGCTGATTGATTGAGAACTTAACAATAAACAGGTTAGGGAAAACCATCAACTTGCGTAAAATATGCAAACTCGCCTATTAATAGTATTTGTAGTATGGATTTGTTACTAAAAAAATTGCATTAATTTAAGACAAAGTAAGTAATATTTAGCTAAAAGGTGTTAATACTGAAAGTGTTGGCTACTTTGAAACTTTCTTTAACTTTATCGTAAATATTGCATCTATTTTTGGTACTTTCCCACACGCAAATATAGTTTTATTTTTGCATTTGTATTATGTTTCATAACTGAATAAATGCAACTTGGACAAACAATTTAAAAAGGTTAAGTTTAAAGTGACAAATACATCCACCAATTTGTGTATAAATCATAATACTAATAGGTGACTTTGTGTATTATACACAAGTAATTGTTTTTTCCCCCACCTGATAATCCCAAGTGCATTTTTTGTATGAATATTTTAATTTTGTAGTTTAAAAGCAGTTGGGGAAAATATTTAACATATCTCTTGTTTTTTGCACATCAACTCAATTTGGAAAATTTAATAAAAAAATATCCAGGAAAGTTGATATGGTAGGATCGATGTGGCTGTATTAGCTGCGATAACGTAGCTTTCTGACGACGAGATAATTTTCTTATATATTTCGTCGTCAGAGCTACGAAGCGGTCCTATGTCAACTAATGGAGAAAAATCAAAAGTGTTTATCTGTAAGATTGCATATAATTCACGCCTCATATGAGTATAATGTTATCAAAATAATACATAATTGTTGAAAAAACAAATACTTATCCATGCAAAAACTCTTTTACGAAATTAACAAAGTCCGTCTTGGGGGGAAAAATAACCGAAACCGGAAACGACCGCCATGACAGATCACGCGTGATGTTATCTCAATTATCCTTTCTATATATGGCCTGCATGGCCAAATATAGTATTACTACTGATGCCGCCATGTTTACTACAATTTCCATATTGGTTCATGACACCCATATTTGGACGTCTGACCTATATTGGAAGAGAGACAAACTTTCCAACATGGCGGTCAATTCAGATTTTGATTACGCTTGCTACGTTAACTTGATAATTTAACGACATTTTAGGCAGAGGTAAACTTCAAATTGTGCAGGATATCAACAGAAATAGTTCATACTACAACCTTATTTATGGATGCGGACCAATGTGCTGTCAATTAATTCTAAAATCGCCCCGGTGTGGTTCACACGGGCTTTGCTCCATTACAAGGCATGGGATCGATTTAATACCCGGCCGGGGCAGAGGAGGCCGCGATTAATATTAGTACTATGGCTGTATTATATAATTAGTGCTTAGTTATGTCATACACAATTGTAATTTTGTACCACATTACAAACTGTATGATATTTTTATGTTTTGTTTATCACAGAAATCATAATAATGGTATCCAAAAATTAAAAAGATAATAATAATTAGAGGTTCTTATATATACCGCTCTGTCACAACCTAGTTTGAAGGTTGTTTCAAAGCGGTTCACAAATTATCTGTGGTTATAATATTTTAATACTCAGGTACTGGAAATATTTGACTCCTGCAAAACATGTCACTAAATGATGAGGGAAGATCTATATCAATTTCTTATACAAAAGCACCTCAACAGGTGAAACGGATCATTTAATTGACATATTAAATAACAACAAACTGATAGAAGCTTCATAAAAGTTACCTGTTTTTCATGTGCTTTTGATTTTTTTCAGCTGCAACTACCATGCTCAAAGTTCAATACAATGACATGCCTCTAGTTAACTATCCCGCATTGTGAATTCCTCCTTGGTGCATTAATTAGTGGCAGTCACTTATATTCCAACTGTAATGCTTGACCTTTTATTTTCACACTTGTGAGGTCAGTTTGCCTGTGGACCCAGAATCACCTGTACACCGTCTGTTTGTCTTATCAAGTCTCATTCAACTTCCCATGAGCTGGCGCATCTTTGAAAGTAATAGTGGTACTAATTAATTGTCGTTGGAATGCGTCCTGAAAACTGTTTTTCAGACTTGTCCTGAACGTCATTTTGAATATGATGCACAGTCCCATTACCAGGAGATATGAAGGAAAGTCTCGCAGGAAAAACGTAAGTCGAGCTCAGAATTCCAATATTTTGGATTCATATAGATTATCACTGGCTAAGTGGTTTCTTAGTTGTTGAATTGTGCTTATCTTTTTTTTCAGATGTTAAAGTTTATTTGAAGTTGAAACAGAAACCGCAAGATGTTTTATGCACACTTTGTGTTGAGTAAAAAAGGGCCATTGGCCCGTATATGGCTGGCGGCCCATTGGGACAAAAAACTGACAAAGGCTCATGTGTTTGAAACTAACATTGACAGTAGTGTTGAAGCCATCATGCAGCCAAAGGTAAGATTACTTATTTGTAATAATGAATACAAAATTAAATGATCACAAATAAAGACCTTAAGTAAATATGGTATTAAAAACAATTTGTAATTTATGATTTAAATGAATTATAAAGTACTGAAGTAGCAGGAAGAGTTTTATAATCAAAAAAATTGAAATTATTTATTTATTTTTCAGGTGAAATTAGCTTTAAGGACATCTGGACATTTGTTGCTGGGTGTTGTGAGAATATATTCTCGGAAAGCAAAATATTTGTTAGCAGACTGTAATGAAGCTTTCGTCAAGATCAAAATGGCATTTCGCCCAGGAGTTGTCGACCTTCCAGAGGAAAACAGAGAGGCAGCGATAACAGCCATTACCCTTCAAGAAAATTTCCATGATTTTGACACAACACTTGCAGACTTAAAGTAAATTTTGTTTAAATAATTTGTTGTATGATATTTATGTACATAATTTACTTCAAATATTCAAAGTTAATTTTACACTGGTTGCTTATAGAAGACAACTTTTCTTACAATGAGATGGGGGTGATTGGTAAATTTAAATTTACACTAAATATTCAAAGATAATTTTACATTGGGGGAGTTGTAGAAGACAACTATTCTTACAATGTAACGAGAGAGAGAGAAAGTAGATCAAGCAAACTATTGCTTTTACGTGTCATTTTCAAAGGGCTGTTTGATAACTCACTTTCCAAAGGATATGTCGATGGCTTGTTCACAAACTCTGGCTTATGAATGAATTAACTTTCAATTGGAAATTCAAATGCTTGGGGTTTTATGGGGAGATAAGTACATTAGAACACAGTATGTATTTTATTTTATTTTTATAACACTTTCACCACTGTAGACCATAATGGACTCATTCAGATCAATGCATGGGAGAGTCTGCTCAAGTTGCATAGGGGTGAAAGTGTTAAAGCACAGTCCATTACAAGGAGATGAACATTTGATTTGCACACAAGAAACCAATTTTGATTTGAGAGGGATTTTTAACTTGATTTTAAAAGCTTTGTATTTAAATCATTTTGTGAAAATTGTAATTGGTGACTGAATTCTACATTTAACATTTGTGTAGTCCTTCCGATTATGTTGCTCTTTTTATTTGATAATTGATGGGAAACATTTGATTTCCAGTGACTTAGATGTGCAAGCGCAATTCTCTGTAAACCAGAGTCGGCCAGAAGAGATCACAATGCGAGAAGATCTTGCCAGCATCGCCTTTGTAGGAGATGATGGTTTTGGTAAGTTATTGAGATATTCGCATGTTGTGTACATATTTTCTCTTGTATCATACTACTGAATATATATCTTTATTGTAGCTTAAAATGTGTGTGATGTTTTCCCCTATGATTATGAAGGGGAAATCTTGCAAACAAGATCAGATCTCTTCATCGCAAGTCTGCTGCTGAAATAGACCATGATTGGCAGGGCTACAGACATAATCACCTCAAGTACAGTGTTACTGAGATGTTATTTTAAGTGATATTATGAGTGTATATATATATATGAATATATATGCTTTAAGATTTGACATCAAATAGATGTCACTAGCTCCCCATTTCATGAGCTACAAATGTACATATTGTTCAGCTAGCTATTTGTATGTATGCGGGGATGTTCATTTAGATCTATGGCTTTACTAAACTTGGTATTTTGCTTTGTGATTCGTGATACATGGAAGGTATATGGAAAAAGGTAGGTATCTATATGTTGTATATATAAAAAAAAAATAAAAAAAATGTCATGGTCCAGAAGAATAGAATGTGTAATTATACATTGTTAGATGAAGTGAACAAATAACAAATTTCTAACATTTCTTTGTTAGGTATTAATTGGTAAGAAACATTGAATGTCCAGTGCTCGAACTATGTTATGGAGGGAATATGTTCATTAACTTTCTTATCAGATGTCTTTGTGATAGAAAATAAATAAAAAATAAGGGGGGAATACTTGATCTTGTGCATTTCATCTATAGGTGTTATGGAAGGTTTTGGTGGGGAAATGGATGAGGATGAGATATGTTTGATAATTTTTGGAAGCAAAGGCTGTGTTAACTGTGACCTTACATGGGACGAAATTTTCAACGTAGATTTTTGCGTAACAAAAGTGCCAAAACAAATGCATAAACAGCCGTCTAAATGTGCTTCGACAACAACAACTCATTCCGTAACATTTCATCAAGACTCTACATGTACCTGTGATATTACCTCTAGTCCTAGTAAAAATAAGTGCTCTTGCTCGTGGAATTACCTCACCAAGAAAAACCATGTGGAAAGTACTCCTACCTTAGTTCCTAAACCCAGAATAGTGAAATTGGATTCTGGCATTGGTATGGATAGCGATCCAGGCCACAGTGATTTCTCCGATGGTGAGTCGGATTATGACGTCGACTGTGCCTGCGAAAGTGAATCCAATGTGGAGAATTCGCCAGGCTTGTCCAAGTCTTCACAGTCTCAACACAAACGTCTCAGGATGTCTGCCTCATCACAGGGTAAGAAGTCTCGACAGGAGGAGGTCAATTAGTACAAATCTTTAAGTCATGTTACAGTTTTTAAGGAGCTGCAGTACAGTTGTATCATGGTAGCTATTCAAAGTATTTGGCAATTGGTAAAAGACATTAAAACATTCCTTTAATGTTATGGACAAATTTAGTTTAGAATATGAAGAAGTACTTAAAAAAAATATTGTAACGTTAGAAATTCATGAAGAGGTAATCAATGATAGATTATATTTTTCAAGAAGCTAGATAAATAAACTTTGAATTTTCAAAACAAAGTCTTATTGTTAATTTTTTTAGAAAGATCAAAAATTTAAAAATCTGAATTATTAATTTCAGAAAGCTTAATTTGTTTAATAGAAAAAGTTAAAAATTAGTAGGAATTTCACTGATGAACTGACTAAAGATACTCTAGGTACTAAATATGATTTCCCCTGAAGAGAAACCCTGACACAACTGTATCCATGTATGTTTATAAGCTGCTTAGACATGACCCAGGTAATCTGTCCTGTGTGATTCCAATTGGAGTCCAGGCATTTAAAAAAGAAGAAAGAAAAAGTCGCTGTCACAAAGTTAATTTTAAAATTTCATATTCATCCACAGTCTACTGCAGCCAAATTAATTCTTATTAACGGCAACTGTTTTTTTGAGTCAGCAGTTCATGTCTCATGAGTCCATACATTCGATCTGACCCCTCCTTTCGATGGCTTCTTATCTATGGGCTCACCCTGAACTTCTCATATGTTTGTCTGCAGGTTGGTTTTATAAAAAAAACTGCTGAATTTGTATGTGTAGCCGTCAACCTGTATTGCTTAAACTATATCAAATGTAAACATGTAATACATGGGTGAGCTCTGATATCGGTGTGAAAAGGCTGACTTTGTATTCTGGTTACTGTGGAATGAATCAATATCATTATTTGCTATAGTGCAATATTTTACCGTTCGGCTGATGACTCCAATTGGATTCAGCTGGTGCTTTTCCCTATCCCCCATCTGGCTCTCTCTGCACTACAAAATTTTGCTTGGTTTTCATGACCAGCCTTTTCTTTTTAACTCATTTTCCCCTGAAGACACATTTGAACTCAATTCAAAGGTTGGAGTAGTTCATTACAAAATTTCAGGGGTGAATGAGTTATCTTTACTAATATACTTATCATTTTTGAATGAAAATATTTCAAATTTCTTTTTTATTGTGTAACTTGGGATGCAAGGAAATATATATAAAAAAAATACATAGATTTGGAGTTGCATTACATGTGGCCTTTGTTGTCATTCTTTTAAAGGATTTGAGGTTTAAGTATGTAAAAGAAAAAATATATCAGTATATATATAAGAAAAGCATATAATGGCAAAAAAAAAATGTAAACATTTCTGATTGACTTATATATAATTACCTACTAATAGAATGAAAGCTATTAATTCATTCACCCCTGAAAACACATTTGAACTCTTCCAATTCAAAGGTTTGGATAGTTCATTATGAAATTTCAGGGGTGAATGAGTTTATAATTACTGTAAAGCAAACAAGTGTGCAGGAGGAGCCATATATTTTCTATGCATTGGTATTGATTCCTTCAATACTAGAATTTGCGCTGTTATTTGCTTGCTTAGTTTGTGCTGTCCATTATTTTCTATTTTAACAAACACATTGTTGTGCATGTGTTCTTTTTGGAATTGTTTATAAACGACCAAAAAAACAAAATATTTGTTAAGTAACCCATTTTTTTTCACAGATAATTTTTTCAGGAATGATATTTCATTACAATGGCCCTGTTGAAGTGGGGTTTTCTGTGTGCGATGTAGTTCTACCAGTTCTGTTGTGAATATGTGACCAGTATTTGTGCCTCGGATGATTTATCTGACTTTAGAACTATGTTGAAAATCTAGAACCCTCAGATGGATGAAAGTGCCTTTTATGAAGCTACGGATGTAATCTGAGAAGCAATGGACGTACATACTGGATGGGTTTCAGCACCGTTTCCAGTTTTCAGCAATAATGTCGAAACCATTCAAGCATTCAGAATTTAAGATATTGAAAAGAGTTGTGCAGTTTGCGGTTAGAGTATCCGTATCTGTAATGAGCAGACTAGTTATTGATTTCAAGTCCACTGCTTTAGAGTTCAAGGATTGATATTAAAGTCAGTTAGATACACAAGTATTTGAAGATTTGAAATGCAGTATGCACAGTGTTCCAATAATGGCAATATTTAGATGTGTTAATGACTATATTCTTCATTTTGATCTCTCGTCTCCATGCTTAGCAAATTCATTTGTCTGAAGCACTCATTATAATGAATATTGGGTCAGTTTTTTTCTGCTATTTCAATGATATAAAATTTTCATGTACATAAAACAATGAAGATCAAATTGGTTGGAATTACATTATATGAACCATTTTTTCGAATAGGTGACGTGGACGTTGGTGGGTTTGATGAGAGAGAAATCCTTCGTGATGCCACAAATCTAGAAGACTCCTTGTACAAACAGCCGGACATCTCCAATCATCAACCAGTGGAAGAAAAGGAAAAAACCTTGAATGAAAATGCCACGGAAAAGCCAATTGATATGGATGTGGACCTGGAAGCACCAGTGACGGATGATGGATTCGGGGGTGCAGTCGACGGAGGATTCATGGGTAGGTTTGGATTATCAAGTGGTTAGAGTTGTGTCCTGTTGCTTTCTTTAATGTTTTAATTGCAACAATACGGGTCTCCTTCCTTTCAAAATGTTTTTAAGAGTTTGTTTTTTATCAGTTCATGTATGTTGATCAATCATGTTTTTACATAAATACAGAGACGATTCTTCAAAACAAAACAAAAATAGCCCAACTTCACGAAAAGTCAACTCTGTATGATTGTAACTATTTTCATGATTTTTCATGCCAATATAGAGTCAGATATGAGTACCTTTCCCAATGAGAGAGAAAAGATAATGAAATCTCAGTGTAGCAAAACAATATATATTCATCAGCAGAACATAATTTCATTTCATAATTGTAACAATAAGAACCTAAAACTGTATACTGTATAAAATAAGTGCATAGGAATATATGAATGGTTGTAGAGCGTTGAACTTGAATCCGTGGAACCATTTAACCATCTAAAATTCTTTAAACATTGCCAAAATGAAAACTTTTAAAGTAAGTCATGTGAAGAAAAGGATTTTTGGATAGAAAAAAATTGATCAGAGAGCTTATAAGCTTAAGGGACACTTATAAGGTTGGGAATTATATGAATAAAATGAAAGCAATGCTGGAATATGTTGTCAATTTTTTTCCAACAAAAGGAAAGTGACAGCTTCCAACACAAGCAGGAAAAACCTTTTTTGTTTTGCATTTGAAATTTTCAAAAAGGAGTGAAAATTATTTTTTCACTTTTTTGGTAAGATGTTGATAGTTATAGGAGTTTAACGTTGTTGTTGATTGTTTATACTTACATTTTGTTGACATTGGAACTAACAGATGCAGATGATGACGATGACGACGATAATGATGATGGTGGTTTTGGAGGGGGTGTTGATCAGGAATTCTTTGGTAAGACAGCGGCAAATTCGTTGAATGATGATAAAAAATTTGGTCAGATGCAATGCAGTCAAATAGTTTTGATTGTGATAATTACCTCAGGATTCTAGCCAAAAATGGTCCAGTAAATGAGGTCAGTGGATTTTCTGTGTGCCATTAAGTCATTAACTCCTAAAATTTGATAATGAATTTTTTTCACCCCTGCATTGGGAGAGTTAAAATGTGTCTTCAGGGGTTAATGAGTTAAGCATTCAGGAGTCTTGGAAAAGTGGATTTTCTTTTCAGCATGCATATATTTACATGTCCAAATTATGAACCATTACACTATTTGAACCAATAACCCTTTCACCCCTAGGTAACTTTAGTAGACTCTACCATACATTGATCTAGATGAGTCCATTATGGTCTACAGTGGTGAAAGGGTTAACTGCATCTTTTAAAAAATTCCATAAAGGAAGAAAAATCAATGATTGACCGATTGTTTCTTCTTAGGTTGATCTGTTTTGGCTGTACAAGTCAATTTGAGATTGTTATTTCGTCTTTAAATGACATTGACGTGGGATTCTAATAAATTATTGCTATTAACAAATAACCTTTGATGTATAACTTCTTTTGTGAATGTTAATAAACATTTGGACCAACAGCAAGTCACTGGATGTATGTCTCCAATTCAGAGAATATCGGTTACAAAAATCAAACTTTTCAACAAATCATTTGTTCTGTACATGACATAGCTTCAGTCCACATGAGGTCTTGCAATTGGTAGGATTTCACCTTGTGCATTTTGCTGCACCTAGTTCCTCCTCAATGTAAAATAACAATCTGAGATGCTTAATAATGCTGTAAAAACATGTAAAATTGATGGTGTGTGGTAGATATTTAGCATCATACATATTAATACATGACTGTACACAATTTCCAACAGGTGATGACTTCATGAACTCGGGTGGTCTGTTTGAGGATGCGCCGATGGCTGATGTCACTATGCCAGCACCAGTAGAAGTTGAGGGTCCTGTCCCAGAGAAAGCACCGGGTAACAAATAATAACTAGCTATATTTAATGCCCATTTCATAACTCCCACAATACAGTTGATGTGCATTTTTGAAAAAGACTTTTTGTCATCTAAGGATTATTGAACCAGTTTGAATTTTTTGTTAAATAATAGAAATTATAATAACACCCAAAATAAAAGTACTGCTGAAAAAACATTGTGTTTGGTTCCCCATGTTAGCCTTTTAGCACTTTGATGTTAGAGGGTATTTAACAGAATTTACCAATTCAATGATATTGTTTTTCTGATTTTTCCTGCAGAATACATGCCTTTACCTCTAGCTAAAAAGTGCCTTATTTTCCCAAAATGACCAAAAACTGAGGAATATATTCCGAATTTCAATACAAATAATTGTATATTTTTTCAGTTCATAAAGGAACAGGCTGTTGTAAAATTTAGGTAACATAAACACTGCAATTGTTATTTATTTTACTTCAATTTTAATATTTTAGAACCAGTTGGACCAGAAAGCATACAGCCCACAGAGGCTGAACCTGTGGCACCACAACAAACAACAGTGGTTGCTACAGAGCAAACCACCCTCATCAATAACGAGGAAGAAGCATTCGCCCTGCCGCCTCTTGATGCCACAATTGTACAAGGTAAATCTTAAAACGGAAAGGACATGAAATTGAGTTTATTTTAGCCCATCGGAATTCGACGGGGTATTATGGTATTAGTGTCTGCGTGTGTCCGGTTAAAGTTTGGGTGCAAGTTTCTTCAGTGGTCTACAGTTCAGTCAGATCATGTATTATTGTCCTAATTTTTGGCATGGATGTTCATGTGGGGACTGACAATGACAATATGGATTTAGGAAAATAATTCCTATTTTTAGGTCACCTGAGCTTTGCTCAAGTGACCTATTCCAATCGCTTTTCGTCCGTCGTCGTCCGTCGTGCGTAAACTTTTACATTTTCAACTTCTTCTCAAGAACCAGTGGATGGATTTTTTTCAAACTTGGTCAGAATCATCCTTGGTAGATGAGGCTTCAAAATTGTAAAATTGGGATTCCTACCCCAACCCCTGGGGCCAGGGCGGGGCCCCAAAGGGAAAATTAATCAATATTTCAAAAATCTTCTTCTCCAGACTCAGAGGTACTACAGTGATTTTCTCTACGTGGAAAGAAAGATCATCAGGGGCTTTACTTAAATTGTAAATTTCAGGACCCCCGAGCTATCCGTTCTCCCTTGGGGAGGGGGTAAAGTTTACTATAGTTTATATAGGGAAATAACACTTTTGGGTATATTTTGACAACTTTCTGTAGGAAATTATTTTTACTTGGTGAGAATTATCCTTGGAGGTAGATGGTTTCAAATTGTAAAATTGAGATTCCTACCCCGACCCCTGGGGCCAGGGCGGGGCCCCAAAGGGAAAATTAATCAATATTTCAAAAATCTTCTTCTCCAGACTCAGAGGTACTACAGTGATTTTCTTTACGTGGAAAGAAAGATCATCAGGGGCTTTATTTAAATTGAAAATATCAGGACCCCGAGCTATCCGTTCTCCCTTGGGGAGGGGTTAACGTTTAATATAGTTTATATAGGGAAATAACACTTTTCGGTATATATTTTATCCATTTTCAGCAGAAAATTGCTCAAACTTAGTCAGAATCATCTTGGGTAAATGAGAGTTTTACTTTGTAAAATTAGGATTCCTGCCCCATCCCCAGGGGCTAGGGCGGGGCCCCAAAGGGAACATTTACCAATATTTTCAAATTCTTATCCATTGATGACATGACAAGTATTGTATTTCACTTAGTTTACATGCTGATTTCCACATCACATCTAAACAATAAAATAAAGCTACCAGTATCTATGATATAACTCAGGTGACCGCTAAGGCCCTTGGGCCTCTTGTTGTAAATTGTATTTATGCAGCCAATTATGGTAGACATGTCCCTATAAACCCACAAGTCAAATCAAATTAAGGGGAGTCAAAAACATACTCTCAAGGGTCTACTGCATGCCATTTTCTATTACAGGACCCCAAAAATATGAACACTTGTGTCCCCATTGGCCATGACCCCCTGAAATGACAGCTTAAAAAAACTAAAGTCTCCAAATTTTAATAATGTGTATGACTAAACACCATGATTTTTTTTTCATTTATGAGTACCCCAAATATTTAAATCGAGTAACCCCCCNGGAACTCGATGTAACGTGGTTCTAGTGTTAATCATCCTCTACATAGTGATGTTGCTTTGGACTAGATTTGAGCCAGTTTTATTGAGTATTTCTCAACATGTATATGTAATGTTTTATATATATTAGGTGTTTCTGAAAAGAAGGGAAAGCGGAAAAGGAAACTGATTGTTGATGAGCAGAAAGGCATTCCCAGTGAAACCATGAAGCTGCAGTTATCGGACACATCAGATGTGATATCAACACTTGACCTTGCCCCTCCAACAAAAAAGCTCATGCATTGGAAAGAAACGGGTGGGGTAGAAAAGTTGTTTTCTCTTCCTGGTAGAACAATCTCTTCAAGAGCAGCATCCAAGGTAAGATTTTATACAGATTGCCTACTCTTTCAATATTTCGATAACTTTAAGTATATAAACTTCATTGCACAGACACAGTGCAAATGATAATTTCTATGTGCCAATTTAAAAATATGCTCAGTATTCCCAGAGAGAGTTGGTTGTACCTCCTTATTTTCAAGAATTGCCCTCTGTAAATAAGAAGAACCAAGGGGTACAGAATATTTAAAAAACAAAACAAATATACCCCCAAATCTAGCACTCATTGGGAACACTGTACACAGCCTTCCTAATCACTACTTCAATGCAGTCTTAGACAAGGAGACATGGAGTTGTAATGTCACTAAAACAGAATGTAATACAAATGTGAACATAATATGGTTGTATTTATCATAAGTTAAATATTGAAATAAGGCAAGCCATTATTTGGATTTTGGAAATTGTCTCTAATACTGGATAGCTTTCTATTAAGACTTCTTTTTATTTTTTCGTTCTTTAGCTTTTTGGAAGAAATTTGATCACAAGACAAGTAAAGGAAGAAGAGCATGAAGATGAAGAAAAGATCGTTCTTGAATCTCCAGAAATTGTCAGAGAAGAGGACAAAACAGTACACAGTAAGCATTGTGCACATTTTTAGAGTAGAAATTATTTTTTTCAAATCACTTGTAGACCACAAATTCTCTCTTTTCTGTGTTAAATAGCAAGCATAGTTCAACTATTAACTGAAAATGGTAAAAGTAGAATTATTAATGAATATTAATGAAAGGAGATGTAACATTTTCTTCCTAAACTATGGAGACTGAGTCTTTTTGATAAATACCAAGAATCCAACCCTTCTAACTTAATGTGTATCACATATCAAATTGAGATTCATTTTAGTTAACTCCCTGAAGCCAATGTGAGAAAATGTCAGATTCATTTTAATGTAAAAAAATCCAATCGCAGCCCTTCCTGAATAAATCATTTGGTACTGTGCAAATTGTTTTTGCATTTCGATTATCGTTAAAAATCCTAACACTTCTACGTTTTACTATAGTTTTGAATAATAATGGAAGATATTTGAGATTTGATTAATCAATATCCTGTGAACTAGAGCACGTTGAGTCATCATGATCTTAAGTACTTGCAATTCACCAGTACATCAGTAACATTGGCCAATCTCAGTTATTGGACAGCCTCCTTTGCTCAGATGAGTGATATCGTGTACACACTTGGTTCATCATTGATTTCTGTTCGCAGATAAAACAAAACCACGAGTGGAGGACATTAGTACTATTTTGGAGGAGCCCTCAATACTTGAAGTTTCAAACGCGTCCGCAAGATCCCGGCGTAGTGAAAAGCCAAGAACACCAGCTCCCGTACCAGAGCCTGAGAAATCAACAGTTGAGGAGCCTGCCAACACAACTGATATATTCTCCAACACATTTACTGAGGCTGTAGTGGACATGCCTGCTGACCCTCTGGCCCTGAACGCACAGCTTGATCCCTATGACCAGGACCCTCCGTCTATAGCCCCGTTTTCTGTCCCTCCTCCTTCAGTGCCACCTCCTTCTGTAGGACCCCCACCATCAGAGCCACCCCCGATTGCTCCAGTAAGTAACAAATGCAGGGAACATTTTGACCAGATGAATGTAAAGCCAGCATATATTTATATTGTTATTGTACCATCTCTTTGCTTCAAATTGCAGATATCATGAAACCATATTTTGAAAGTATATAGAAATAAAGTTTTTGCAGTAATCTTTTGACCTTTTGGGGATATAAATTCTGTCCTCTTGGTTTGATGTTTTTCATATTTTGTGGTAATTGTGTAATCAGTGATTTTCCCGCCTCTTTGTGACGTGGGAGGAGGGGCCTGTACCTCGACAAAACAACTCGGGAATTAAAAGGCCCAAATTCACATCAAATTTATCACTGTGAAAGCCCTATTTATACATATTTTATTCTAAATCCAAGATGTACTTTGCAATTATGTGGGAAATACAAACACAGTGTTGCCTTTACTAACCTGTCGGTATTTTAGTAAGTCCAATAAAAAGAAGATATTTTTTTGTAGCAAATGTATAGGCTGGATGTAGTTGCCAAATTAATATGTATTGGTTAAATAACAATTTTTGAGTGTGTTTTATGGGTGGATGTTGAAACACAGTTTTACTATTAAAGAAAGAAAAAAAATATTATTAAAAATAAAAAATATTAAGCATGCTTCATTTGTTTTTCAACAGTCATTCAGCATAGAAGGTGATTTAGAAACAGAGGCCATGCCAGAAAATGAAGAACAAGAAGAATTAAGATGGACAAAACGAACACAAAAAATGCAACATTCACTTGATATTGGTTTTCGTTATAAGAACCCTCTTGGATTTAAAGAGATGTCAAGGAATCTCAATCGCAAGCAGGCTGCAGCTCGTTTCTATACTCTTCTTGTGTTAAAGAAATACCAAGCTGTGGAAGTCGACCAACCAGAGGAGTTCGGAGATATCTACATCAGAAAGGGTCCTCAATTCGGCATCGCATGTTGAGGGGATTGTTTTCTGTTACAATGTTTTCAAAGTTTATAAACTGCAACACTCTCCAAATCCACGTTTCTGTGCAGACACTTGCAATGGCAAAATGATCATTCACCATTTCATCAGGTCGATGAAATTACACAGATGTTCTGTGAACAGACAGTTATTGGATTATGAATGTTGATATGAGGGAGATTGTCAAAGATCCTTATTCTCAACATATTTCATAGCTTATGTGTTCAATTGTCTTTACTTATTTCTCGTTCATAGATATAAATAATTTGATCCACGGATAATGAATGATGTAAGTAAAATGGAGGGGGGATTTTAAATCAGTGGGAAAAGGGCTTTGATTTACGTATTGCTGAATTTTATTTCAAAAGTACATCTCAATTTTGTTTTTATTTATATTATTAATTTTACTTGATGATACTAAATTATCTTGAAGTTTGATGTCTACAGTAACTGGCTTCGTAATAACGACAGAAAACTTTCAGTTTGTGATTGAGTCATTGAAAGTGAATGAATGTGAAATATTCGAAGAGATCACAACTATATTTGTGCAATGTCTATGTTATTTGCTGTTTAAATGTTAACCTTAGAGGTTAAGTGAAAGTAATATTTAGATTATCTTTTGGATTTTTGAAAGTGCAGGGGGGGGGGGGGTTCTGTGGCAGTGCCATAAAGGTTTTACTGCTACCAGTCATCCAGAGAAATTTTGGCTTTATTAAAGGGTTTGGCAATAAATTGAAGGAATCTTGGAAAGGAATTCATGAGAAGAAATGTATTGGCTGTAATTGAGGTGGCAAATGAAACTTCGTGGCATTATTATGAGGCTTTACTGTACCTCTTGCCTCTCCTATACAATCATTAGGCCTTTAGAATCTGGTTTTATTGAGACAGTTATGTTCTCCGCCTAGCTTGTAATTTAAGTAGATATATACTGTACTGCCTTTCTTTAGAAAGGGTGTTATTCTATGATTAGTGGAAAATATCTTTTGTGAACCTAATTCAAAAATTTGAAAAGTACAGGAAAGTGCATAATGATACTTGAAACTTGTGTAATAGGGCCGTGCATTGATCACAAGAACCAATAAAAAATGAGATAGTCTGTGAAATATTTGATGTTATGGTAAAGTATCGTCTTCCAAAGATTTTCTGACAAGACATTCAGATGGATAGCAAGGTTTTCTAGACAGTTATGCAGAGAAGAGAATATTTCATTGTTTCTAGAGTTCTTGTAACATTTCTTTTGCATTGTATATTTTAAAATTGATTGAAATTTTGAAGTTGAAGATAATATTTTGAGCCAAAACACATGTTTTTCAATCTTTAAAACATGAATATTCCATGAACAAGAATTGGTGTCTGCAAGGAGTGTTTAAGTCATTTATGGTTGTTGAATGATTTGAAATTATTCATTCATGTGTAATATTGACCAAAAACTAGTATTATACATATGTGAACCAGTGCATGGCCCCATGATTAGAACAACTTGATATAATTTGGAAGGGAGATAACTCTGCTGACGTAAAACAAAGAATATCTTGGTTAATATCGAAACCAAATATTTATTTCATGAGTTAGTTAATATCTTTTAACTGGAACGCAATTCTACTGCTTTTTCATAAATAAGCACATGGGAATGTTGGGCAGCACTATTTGAGGGACCCTACTTCTCGTCCAATGGGTTTGTTTTTCGACTAGCCCAAACTCTTACACATCACACAGGATGTGTAAGGTAGATGATATAAGGTTATTTTACTGTGCAGGAGTACAGTGATATATTATTTTATGATGGAAATTATTTACCAGATAAGATTGTAATATTTAATGGAAAACAAATTTGCGATAATTTAAGAAATTTTGAGCATGTCAGCCTGTGGTTCTCAATGTCCCTTTGTAATTTGAATTGTCTATGAACATTTAAGTATTATTTTCACTTATGTCGTATGTTCACCTGGTGGTTCTCATTGTCCCCTGTTTGTAATCTGAATCGTCCTATAAGCTGTATATAAACATCATATCATCATCAGGAGTTTTGTTATGTGGGAGTAAAAACTTGTACGTTGGTTAAAACTTTCACTGAAAGGCAGCTTTTCTTAATTGACACTGTTAAGTACACAAAACTATCATTTTGCACATGTACGCATAGGAACAAAATCTGAATATATTATCATCTCAAAAAACATTGTAACATGTTGATCTATTTACTCCAGGAGGGAGTAGAGGTTTGTCTTAAAAACAGCAAAAAATGCTGAAAGTTCCAGATGACTTCAACATTTTTGCCACACAAAATTTTATTGAACATAATTTTTCTAATCTCCACAAAATTTTCTGTTTTGACATGGATAAATTTGGTCCTGTGGAGGTTTTTTAAGCCGCATCCAATATTGTGTACTGTAGATGTCGCCCTACACTTTTATCGTCCTGTTTTAAGGTATTGTAAATGTTGTTGTGATTGACTCTTGCCATGAAATATCTTAAAAGACGTATTTTATGTGCAAAAATCAAGATTTTCTTTTTTTATGATCTTTTTTTAGAAATATTTTACTGGCAATAAACATTGCTGGAGAGAAAGTATGTAAAAACTTACAAAGCATGATGTAGAAAGAAATAATTTCTAGCTTTAATTCAGGGAAGGAGGGCTAGCAAAATTTGCAACAGTTACACTTTATATAATTTAAATTATTAACAAGATTGTAAAATATTTGTTGAGATAAAGTTTTTAGACGCCATTAGATTCCGCTTGGATTTAAAAGTTTGAAAAGATGGAAAGCATTGTTTTGAATGTTGTTTAAGTGGAGAGATTGTAAGGTTGTGTACGAGTGTTAGTAGCTGTAGGTGAAAATGAGTCTGCGTTGGATTATTTTTATATCGACTTTGTGGAAAGGAAGGCAGTGGACTTGTCTTCTTGCCATTTTAGTTACATGTGAAATGAGGTTTTATCATGTAGATTTGTTATGTATGTGAAACTGTTTATGTATTTCTCACATCTTCATCCTATCTTTTTAGAATCATTCTTCATTCTCGTAGCGTATGTTCAATATGTATTATAATAAAACTCAGTTGAAATCTTAAATATATATATAAATCAGTGTCTGTGTTGTTAATTCATTCAAATATCAGAAGAAGAAAATATCTATGATTTGTGCATGTTCCGATTTAATTTGAGTTTGATTGGGGGAAAAGATGGCCGCCAGGCAGCCACCTTGGGTTATGACAACTGTAGGGGGAAAATCACATTCCTGTGGTGAAAGGATGACTGAAATAATATGCAAAGCACTGGTATATTTGTTGAGAAATTTTACATCTGAATACTGCATAATTAAAAGTGCAACATGACATGTATCTTTCATTCATAGTAAGCAATCATGGCAAAGTAATTATAATTGCAAAAGTGTTTAGGAACTTCAGTCGGTACCAAAAAAGAAAACTCTTTTATTAGGTCACCTGAGCTTTGCTCAAGTGACCTATTCCAATCGCTTTCCGTCCGTCGTGCGTAAACTTTTACATTATCAACTTCTTCTCAAGAACCAGTGGATGGAATTTTTTCAAACTTGGTCAGAATCATCCTTGGTAGATGAGGCTACCAAATTGTAAAATTGGGATTCCTGCCCCAACCCTAGGGGCCAGGGCGGGGCCCAAAAGGGAAAATTAACCAATATTTCAAAAATCTTCTTCTCCAGACTCAGAGGTATTACAGTTATTTTCTCTGCATGGATGGAAAGATCATCAGGGGCTTTATTTAAATTGTAAATTTCAGGACCCCCGAGCTATCCGTTCTCCCTTGGGGAGGGGGTAAAGTTTACTATAGTTTATATAGGGAAACAACACTTTTGGGTATATTTTGACAATTTTCTGTTGGAAATTATTTTTACTTGGTCAGAATCATCCTTGGAGGAGGAAGATGGTTTTAAATTGTAAAATTGGGATTCCTACCCCAACCCTAGGGGCCAGGGCGGGGCCCAAAAGGGAAAATTAACCAATATTTCAAAAATCTTCTTCTCCAGACTCAGAGGTATTACAGTCATTTTCTCTGCATGGATGGAAAGATCATCAGGGGCTTTATTTAAATTGTAAATTTCAGGACCCCCGAGCTATCCGTTCTCCCTTGGGGAGGGGGTAAAGTTTACTATAGTTTATATAGGGAAACAACACTTTTGGGTATATTTTGACAATTTTCTGTTGGAAATTATTTTTACTTGGTCAGAATCATCTTTGGAGGAGGAAGATGGTTTTAAATTGTAAAATTGGGATTCCTACCCCAACCCTAGGGGCCAGGGCGGGGCCCAAAAGGGAAAATTAACCAATATTTCAAAAATCTTCTTCTCCAGACTCAGAGGTATTACAGTCATTTTCTCTGCATGGATGGAAAGATCATCAGGGGCTTTATTTAAATTGTAAATTTCAGGACCCCCGAGCTATCCGTTCTCCCTTGGGGAGGGGGTAAAGTTTACTATAGTTTATATAGGGAAACAACACTTTTGGGTATATTTTGACAATTTTCTGTTGGAAATTATTTTTACTTGGTCAGAATCATCCTTGGAGGAGGAAGATGGTTTTAAATTGTAAAATTGGGATTCCTACCCCAACCCTAGGGGCCAGGGCGGGGCCCAAAAGGGAAAATTAACCAATATTTCAAAAATCTTCTTCTCCAGACTCAGAGGTATTACAGTCATTTTCTCTGCATGGATGGAAAGATCATCAGGGGCTTTATTTAAATTGTAAATTTCAGGACCCCCGAGCTATCCGTTCTCCCTTGGGGAGGGGGTAAAGTTTACTATAGTTTATATAGGGAAACAACACTTTTGGGTATATTTTGACAATTTTCTGTTGGAAATTATTTTTACTTGGTCAGAATCATCCTTGGAGGAGGAAGATGGTTTTAAATTGTAAAATTGGGATTCCTACCCCAACCCTAGGGGCCAGGGCGGGGCCCAAAAGGGAAAATTAACCAATATTTCAAAAATCTTCTTCTCCAGACTCAGAGGTATTACAGTCATTTTCTCTGCATGGATGGAAAGATCATCAGGGGCTTTATTTAAATTGTAAATTTCAGGACCCCCGAGCTATCCGTTCTCCCTTGGGGAGGGGGTAAAGTTTACTATAGTTTATATAGGGAAACAACACTTTTGGGTATATTTTGACAATTTTCTGTTGGAAATTATTTTTACTTGGTCAGAATCATCCTTGGAGGAGGAAGATGGTTTTAAATTGTAAAATTGGGATTCCTACCCCAACCCTAGGGGCCAGGGCGGGGCCCAAAAGGGAAAATTAACCAATATTTCAAAAATCTTCTTCTCCAGACTCAGAGGTATTACAGTCATTTTCTCTGCATGGATGGAAAGATCATCAGGGGCTTTATTTAAATTGTAAATTTCAGGACCCCCGAGCTATCCGTTCTCCCTTGGGGAGGGGGTAAAGTTTACTATAGTTTATATAGGGAAACAACACTTTTGGGTATATTTTGACAATTTTCTGTTGGAAATTATTTTTACTTGGTCAGAATCATCCTTGGAGGAGGAAGATGGTTTTAAATTGTAAAATTGGGATTCCTACCCCAACCCTAGGGGCCAGGGCGGGGCCCAAAAGGGAAAATTAACCAATATTTCAAAAATCTTCTTCTCCAGACTCAGAGGTATTACAGTCATTTTCTCTGCATGGATGGAAAGATCATCAGGGGCTTTATTTAAATTGTAAATTTCAGGACCCCCGAGCTATCCGTTCTCCCTTGGGGAGGGGGTAAAGTTTACTATAGTTTATATAGGGAAACAACACTTTTGGGTATATTTTGACAATTTTCTGTTGGAAATTATTTTTACTTGGTCAGAATCATCCTTGGAGGAGGAAGATGGTTTTAAATTGTAAAATTGGGATTCCTACCCCAACCCTAGGGGCCAGGGCGGGGCCCAAAAGGGAAAATTAACCAATATTTCAAAAATCTTCTTCTCCAGACTCAGAGGTATTACAGTCATTTTCTCTGCATGGATGGAAAGATCATCAGGGGCTTTATTTAAATTGTAAATTTCAGGACCCCCGAGCTATCCGTTCTCCCTTGGGGAGGGGGTAAAGTTTACTATAGTTTATATAGGGAAACAACACTTTTGGGTATATTTTGACAATTTTCTGTTGGAAATTATTTTTACTTGGTCAGAATCATCTTTGGTGGATGACGGTATCAAATTGTAAACTTGGAATTCCTGCCCCATCCCCAGGGGTTAGAGCGGGGCCCCAAAGGGAACATTTACAAATATTTTAAAATTCTTATCCTTTGATGACATGACAAGTATTGTATTTCACTTAGTTTACATGCTGATTTCCACATCACATCTAAACAATAAAATAAAGCTACCAGTACCTATGATATAACTCAGGTGACCGCTAAGGCCCTTGGGCCTCTTGTTTATTATTTGATTTATTGATCCTAATTATTATTCATAGTAATTTTTGTTGAAACATGATCAACTGGTCTGGAGGAATATGCTTTTACACTAGTAGTTAAATAACGTGTTTTGGCCCACCTGGCAGGAAGTGTGCGAGTCTATGGAAGTATGGTATGGTGTTGCGTCCGTCAACTTTTTTCTTTTGAACATTTTCTGGATGACCTAGGGTCATAATATTTGACCACTATGTATGTTGAAGAGAGTGCTATTAAGTTAACTCGATTAAATAACCTTGGCCTTTCAAGGTCACAGGTGTCAAATATTTAAAGCCTTTAAAACAACTTCAAATGAATAACCAGAACACCCAGAGTAATGCAACTACTGCTATAACATTTCCTCAAATAAATGACCTTGGCCTTCTTCAAGATCACAAGTGTCAAATGTGTTCAAAACCTTGAATCAACTTCTTAATAAACCAAGAGGTGTAGAAAAATGATATTTGGCCAGTAGGTACATGAGATGGAGTGCTATAAATTGTTTTCCAACAAGTGACCTTGACCTACTTTCAAGGCCACATTAGTCAAATATTTAAAAGAATCTTTTAAACAATTTCTAAATATGAAGGAGGCCCAAGTTGATGGTATTTTGCTAGAAGGTAACTGGGATGGAGTTTCCTCAAATGGATGACCCTGACCTACGTTGAAGGTCACAAGGGTCAAATGTGGTTAACTTTAACAACTTATTAGGAACCAAGGCAAATAAATGACATTGACTTTCAAGGTCACAGGCATCACATATGTATAACCAAAAGGCACAGGGTGATGATAGTTGGACAGTAGGTACCTGCCATTGAGTGCTTTAAAGTTTCCCCAAATAAATGACCTTTATCTTCTTTAAAGGTCTTTCTTTTTAATCAACCACTGGGTGGCGATATTTGACCAGTTGTATGCTAGGATAGAGTTGTATAAAGTTTCCCTCAGTATATGACATTGACCTACTTTTAAGGTCAAATTTTTAAAAAATAAATAAAAAATTAAACAATTTATCCTAATGATGAATGCCAGGGTGATAATAGTTCGCCAATAGCATGTTGGGATAGAGAAGTACAAGGTTTCATCACATAAATGACTTTGATCTACTTTCAACGTCATAGGTGTCAAAATGTTTCCTCTGGCCCTGAAACAATGCTTAGACATTTTAACATATATATCTGATTAGGGGCCAGAGCGCACTACTTAATGAAAACGTGGAATTTTCCGACACCGTTTGGAATAGGAGTGTCATTTACATAACCTATAAAATGGCGTCGCTCAGGTGGGAAATTTTGAACGATTCAAAACCGAGGACTCTACTGACGGAATGTAGCAGCTGTTGGTGATAATAAGGGCGGTTTTGGATCAATAAATAACCCATTTATCGATGTATGCGTGTCATAGTAGATTTATGTTGTCACAACTTCCCAAAACCAAACGGTGTCGGATAATTCCATTTTTAGCTCACCTGGTCGGAAGGACCAAGGTGAGCTTATGCCATACCGTGGCGTCCGTCGTCCGTCCGTATGTCAACAATTTCTTTAAACGACTTCCTCTTCTTAACCACTGGTTGGAATTAAACTAAATTTGACTGGAAGCATCCCTAGGTGGTGGGGATTCAACATTGTACAAATGGTGGGGCTGAGGGGCGGGGCCAAAAGGGGGCAATTTGGCTATATTTCTACAAACGACTTCTGTAGAACTGTGCACTGGATATCAATCATATTTCATCAAAAGCATTCCTGGGAGGCAGGGATTTAAAATTGTACAAATGGTGTGGCTGACCCCCCAGGGGGCTGAGGGTCAGGGCCAAAAAGGGTATTTGGCTATACTGCTTTAAGCGACTTCTTCTCTGGAACTAAGAAGTGGATATCAACCATATTTGACTGGAAGCATCCCTAGGTGGTGGTGATTAAAGGGTTAAAAACAAATGGTGGGGCTGTGCACTGGATATTGATCATATTTGGTCAGAAGTATTCATGGGAGGCAGGGATTCAAAATTGTACAAATGGTGGGGCTGACCCCCCGGGCTAAGGGGTGGGGCCAATAAAATGTATTACTTGGAAATGGTTGAGATCCCCACTATATAACCATATATACAATTGCTGAGTATAAAGAGAAGAATGCACATTTGCTTCCAGGATGTCCCTAGGGTCTCGCCCAACCCTTGGAGACATAGTCCCTGGGCCATAACTTTAAAATGGTTGAGATCCCCACCCCAAAACTATATATACAAATGCTGGGCATAAAGAGACGAATGCAATCATGATATCAGAATAGACCCTGGGGTCTGACCGAACCCCTAGGGACCTAGTTTCTTAGTCACAGCTTGGAAACAGTTGAGAGCCCCACCCTATAACCGTATATATACAATTGCTGAGTATAAAGAGATGATTGCACATATGCTTCCAGGTTGGCCTTGGGGACTGCCCCACCCTTGGAGACTTAACCCCTGGGTCATAACTTTGAAATGGTTAATATCCCCACCCCAAAACTATATATACAATTGTTGGGCATAAAGAGACGAATGCAGTCATGATATTAGAATTGATCCCAGGGTCTGCCCCACCCTTGCAGACTTGGCCCCTGGGTCATAACTTTGAAACGGTTGAGATCCCCACCCCAAAACTATATATACAAATGCTTGGCAAAAAGAGACAAATGCAGTCACGATATTAGAATCGATCCTGGGGTCTGGCCACAACTCTAGGGACCTAGTTTCTGAGTCGAAGCTTGGAAACAGTTGAGATCCCCACCCCATAACCATACATAAAATTGCTGGGCATGAAAAATCTAATATAGCTATGCTACAAGGATTGGCCTTGGGGTCTGGCATATTCCCTTGATCTTATTTGGAGAATAGTTTGCCATGATTGCTTAAGTATCCAGGTGAGCGATACAGGCCCTCTGGGCCTCTTGTTTATATATACATATAATAGCGCGCTCTGGCACCAAGCCAGATAGCTATCAGTCAAAAGGTCTGAAGTCTGGTGTCAGGACCAGAGGAAATTTGGGTAAGTGTCATATGCCAAAAAAAAAAAAAAAAAAAAAATCTTCTGAATACCTGAAAGATCAGGGTAATGATATTTAGCCGGTATCAACGGGGTTCTGATTAAGTGATATCAATCACTTCCGTTCGTCTGGAACTTTCTAAAGGCAACGACACTCAATATGTGGAAATATTTGCAAAATAACTTTTATTGTGAACATTTCCCCGTGATTGCTAGTGAGCAATACATGCCCTCTGGACCTCTTGTTAGCTCAACTGGGTCGAATTTGCGTATCCCGGTTGAAACGAATCAGGTGGCTCAGAAATATTCCGCTTGGAATCATGTTATTCCACTTTGATTTTCGGTGAAGGTTAAATTAGCAGAGCTAATAATGGAAAGTTTCGAAGATTAAAAAACCATATGCTAGTATCTAGAATAGTATGCCCTTCTTCCTCACGTTCACTAAATTATATAACATCTTAAAATCTACATGTGGATTGACCTTGATTTATAAAGACATAACGCAAACTAGCAATAGTCAGCATTTTAGTTTCGGTCAGGCACGTCTGGACCCCTCAGCCTACACATGCTGAGTATTCCTGAGGTCAGCCTGGGTTCAAATTATATAACCTGCGCCTGTCGTTTTCTTTTAAGTTCTACCGTTTCAACTGGTTAGTCCGAAGGACTAATGTGAGCCTTTGCCACAACGAGGCGTCCGTCTCTTTAAATGACTTCAAATGAAGGAGCCTACCCAAATATTTCTGTTATGTTTTCCCCGAAAAGTATGGACATCGAGTAATATCACTGAAAGAATCATACGATCATTTGTTCGAAGCAAGCAAAACACTGCAGAGTCCCATTAGTTTTTGGCACATGCAGTAATCTCCAACTAATGTCGTTTGGACATAGCGCGACTGAGCCAGGGTTCTTCCGTTGACTAAGAAGCTATGGTGGTTAGAGTGACAGTCTTTTGACTATCGTTTTGGCTTTTGTGTTTAACGTCATATAAACAGCAATGGTCATTTATGGACGTGCCAGGTTTTGGTGGTGGAAGAAAACCGGAGTACACCGGAGAAAAACCACCGACCTGCGGTTGTACTGGCGACTGCCCCATGTAGCCCTCGGGCCCGCGAACCAATGCCAGTTGAGGGCTAGTGATTGGAGACGGTCAGGCGCCTTAACCACTCGGCTACGAAGGCCCCTTGACTATCATCTGACCTTTGGGCGCTGATCACAATGGGATCAAGTGACATCAAGAAAAAAAATGTAATTGAACATAGATTTTCGTTTGTGGACCAGTGTTATAGAACCTAGGGATGGAAACCTGATTTTGCTCCGTTACATTGATCCACTTTAAACACTGATTGATTTATAATTTTGTATAATTCATCTTTATCATTCTTTCATAAAATTTTCGCAAGATTTCTCTCCACAAATGATCGATCAAGTAATTGTCATGCCGGAAATTTGTTAATGCATAGTTATTTTTTGGCGGTACATGTATATATAACACTGGGATCTCTAACAGAACTCCCATTTCCTACACCCCGATAGGTCCTCTCTTCGGCATGATATTTCAGTGAGATAGCACTATAAAGTCGGCATCAGATCCGCGCTATCACAAGGAGGCAAACACACCAACATATCCTGTCCCCTGCATTCACACACGCAAGCACGCATTCACTACACACATAGAGGCACGTCCTTAAATGACCTTAACTGTTAATAAGACGTTAAACAAAACTAAACAAAAACAAAACCGAACATCAATTTGGTTTGATTCTATTAGGTTTAGAGTCCTATTACAGCTAATCTCTGTCGTGCCTTCGTGTGTGTAATGTATGCGTGTATGCCTGCTGGACGCGGTATGTTGGTATATTTGCTGCCTTGTGATAGCGCGGATTTGGTTTAGTTTGTTTGTGTTTTACGTCCTATTAACAGCTATGATCAATTAAATAGGTGTCAGGTTTTTGTGGTGGAGGAAAGCCGGAGTTCCCGGAGAAAAACCACCGACCAACGGCCAGCACCTGGCGACTGCCCCACGTAGGCCTCGAACCCGCGACCGAGCATCAAGCACAGCATTCCCCCCGGTCACATTATACTGACAACTGGTGAACAAGTTGTTGCCATTCCCCGTAATGCTGAACGTTAAAAAGGGAATAACAACTACCATTTTTAAGGCCTTTAGTATTTCCCGGCCTGGGGACAGAATCCGTTGCTTTCCTCACCTTGGCGCACGCTCAACCAAGCAAGGCACTAGGAAATAAAAGGTAGTTAGAAGTAGAAGGAACGATAAAGATTCCAAATATTGCAATGGACGCAGCAGATTTATTTTGGTCGATGTTGGGAAGAACTATGTGAAGCATAAATGCTGGTTTTCACTTTGGCGACGTTCTTCGCTTATTCGTCACATAGAAGTTTGTCTGCAGGTTTTACAATTTTTGTTACCCCTAAACTCGATCATATTTCTTTCAAACATGAAGTCTACCTCTTTTGTTTATTTCAGTACAGCCGTCCATCCGTCCGCGTATCTTTGGTCTTGTTCTTTGAATCGGACACCACATCAGGTGTCCTGTCATAGGTTGTAACTGTTCTGGTACGCTTGTTTGTTTAACAAACAGATAATAAGGTTAACAATATTCAAAACGATTTGTCATGCAACCTTACGACCAACAAACAATGTGGTAAAGACGTCTGACAGGGCTACCACTGGCCCTCCATCGCTGGGTCGCGGGTTCGAGGCCTACGTGGGGCAGTCGCCACAGGCTCTGACTGCAGGTTGGTGGGGTTTTTTCTCCGGACATTCCGGTTTTCTTTAAATGACCATAGCTGTAAATAGGACGTAAAACGCAAACATCGTACATGTGTATCCAGTGTTTTTATTTGACCACATATTATGACAACAAAACATGTTTCCAAAGAGGGATAATGAACGTAACATGTTTTTAAAAGGATGCAAGAACACTGACCATACAGTGTGTACATATTCATAATTAAGTTATTCTTTTTTGGGGGGGGGGAAAGTTATCTGTTTAACAGTTTTTTGAATGATTTCTCTGTCAAAACATATGTTGAAGACTAGATACACAATCGTATGACGTCATATCGAGAGAGAAAAAATCTAACGACGTCATGCTATTGCTTGGCATATTATATAAACTACATTCTTTTTCAGGGGTGATAGGGAAATAATCATTCTGTACTTTCAGAGTATGATAAATAAAAAATAATAATCTCAACCCTTAGGATAAGATTCTTGACAGCCAAGCACTTTGCAAGTCTTCGATTAAGAATATCACCCAACTTTCGCCGGAACTCCCCTGTTTTCAGCTCATGATTTCTCATACCTAGCATAGGTGTCTTTCCCCAAATTATTCTCCATCCCGCCCAATGAAGATTAATTATTCTTTCTCTCACCCTGTCTGCCCGTTATAATTTGTATATAATGAAATGTTGACGTTTCGAGGTCATTGCATTGTTGACGTGACAACGTCAATTGCATCGTTGTCTTAATGATATGATGCATTGATAGATGTTAAATAGAGATTCACTTCTGCTCAACCCTTAGGTGGGACAATGATAACTCACTATTGGAAAAGTTTAGATACAACTTTCAAGGCTAAGAGAAGTCCTTTTCCTCCATTAGACAAATGCATTCACACTTTCGCCCCGGGGAAAGATTTGTCTGTCTTACCTTACGCAAGTACAACGATACGGTTTGGTATACAAGAAAAACCACAACAGTGGGGCGAGATTCTTTAATATCTTAACAGACACGGGTTAGACAATTAAGAATATCACCCCTCAGGTTTAGACCTTCACATTAACTCATCCACCCATGGAGACACATTTGAACTCTTCCAAATGAAACGTTGGAATAGTTCATTATGAACTTTCAGGGATGGATGAGTTAAAAGAGAATTTCTACGAGCAATGCCTTCTATGTATGGAAATACTCTCTCTCCCTTATGTCTCATCTCGTGGTATCAGAATTCCCGAGAAAGTTTTTGCAGGAAATAACGATATTTCTGAAAAACACATCAAATGATCCTTGCACACACTGTTTATGAGCACAAAAATCAAGCATAAATTGCACAATATTCCATATTGTTTTGTATACTGAAAATGTGGAATTTTTCGTGGTGTATACATTCTCGTGTTTTTCGCGTTGAGTAAATTTGTGCGAAAAGTTTCACAAGCAAAATGTTAATTGATTAGATTATTGATATATAGTTTACAGAAACATTGCAAACGCAAAATGTCCACATCGCGATTAGTTTTGAGGCACTAATTGAACATTACAACACGCGAGAATTGCCACTTTTGCAGTACTTACAAATAACAGTTGGGCCAATATTTAAAAAATAAAAATCCACACCGCGATTAATTTAGATAGTCGCTTAGCGAACATTTCACACGCGAGAATTTCCACTTTTGCAGTACTTACAAATAACAGGCGGACAATATTTAAAAAAAACCCACACGATTAGTTAAGAGAGTTGCTAAGCGAACATTTATAACAAATACTTACATCAACTTTCATACAAGGAGGACATCACAGTACACTAATTCACCTGTACATCTATTTCCGGTTACAATCAATGCCCATATAGCCATCGGATCGGAACCACAGGGACCTGAGGATTTGTTACAGTTGGTATGGTTTTACCTATCCCGGTGTGTAAAGAGTAATATTAGATATTTTAGGGGTTTAGATCAACCCTTCGTCAAACTTTGTTTATGTTAACCATTAAAACGTCCAATATTACAACCTTCACAACAGGGTATGTCATGGTCCAAACATACCAACTATAACAATGTCTCGAGTCCTTGTGGTCGGAACCAGTCACTGAGGTTAGATATACTCCAGGGGTAGCGTTACCTTTCGCCCAGAGAGCGTAAGCGTGACCCCTTGCGTCAATCGGGAACCATCGGCACTTTCCGTAAACGAGAATACTTTAGTATAGTATTTTTCTCGTTTACGGAAAGTGCCGAAGGTTCCCGATTGCCATTGAGTTTCGAGGATGACAGAGGTGTGATTAAAATATGACTGCTCATTGGCCAGACAAACACAGAGCTACAACCTCCTGTTTCTAGAAACTCCAGAATAATTCTGATGACTTAATTTTAAAACTGGTTTAGGAATTTATGTCGGTGTATTATCACACCGTCGGATAATTAACTGTAAATACTTGAAGTAATCAGCTTATTCAACATATGTGATGGATTTCTAATCTATTGCGCTGCTTATACACACACATTTGTCTACATCATTTCATCTTTAACTTGGTGACGTCATTGCATGATTTGGTCCACAATAAGAATTATTAGATGGATTTAACCGAGAACAATGCATAATCCATATCACTCCAAGTTCACAATTTTCACTTTTTAGCCCCAAGTTCCTTTGCTTTTAATGTTGCGGCTTCAACAGCGTCCATGAGTGTCCCTCGAAAACAACCCTTTTCCAGTTTGTGCATTGCAGCGATTGTGGTGCCACCTGGCGAGCAAACCTCGTCCTTCAACTGTCCAGGATTTTTGCCTGTTTCTAGGACCATTTTTGCAGCACCCTGAAAAACCCACATATTTGGAGAATCAGTAGTGGCATCACCTGGATGCGATTCCAGTCCAACGCAAACAAATCTCTTTAGAGACCACATTTGGTCTGTGGTACATTTTCTCTTTAATATTTGTCAAAGTAAATTGTCTGTGATGATATTGTCTTTCACATTAGTCCAAAATAACAGAATACCCGGTATCCCATTTAAAAAATTCACCAACATGGCCCGCCCCAACAATTTTTTTTTTTTAAAAGGAAGTCAGTTGTTTTGGACTACCACTCCTATTTGAGGATACTGTTTTGCTTATTCTTGAAAAATAGTCACATAGATGTTATTCCTGGACAAAAGTCATAGGAAAACAACTACACGGCACTTACCAGAAGTGTTTGGGCTGCTAGTTTCAGCGCCATGTCCCTAGGAAGTCCCATCTTGACGCCACCGTCAGCCAGGGCCTCAATTGCAACGAACGCCTGCAAATGGGAAACAATAAAATATTTTCAGTATGAGGTGTGGGACATGGTTTTGTCGGTCAGTCTAGACATACAGCCCTTTTATTTTAACACCCTGGAACAATACGTGCACCGTTGCTTCAAGGATATCCTCCGTACCAATGGGTAATGCTCACTTACGATCTCTACAGCCCTGGAATATGTCATAACAAAATTGAAGGCATAAAGACAGCTGTTTGATTGGTCTCAGGTAAAAAGAAACATGACTAATCGCTAGGCTGATACATGTCCTTTGAAGGTTACAAAGGGGCGTTACTTGACATCAAAGTCAGTCATTTTTTACCGTTACGCGACCGCGAGATTCTTTTGATATACATCAAAGAATCGAACTAGTCTTGTTGTCTCATCAACACACTGATCCTTCAATTGCTATGACATATTCCAGGGGTGCAAAGAGCGTAACCGCTGGGTATCGAGGATGCTTCAAGGATTACTAGACAGAATTTCGAATTGTATTTGTTTTCCTTCTGAGTATACAAAATCAAAGATTTCAAGTTTTTTCCCCCACCAAACATGATTGGTTCGGTTTTGTTAATTTATTGTGTTGTCTTTTATTTATTACGCTCAAGCAATACTTTAATTCGAAGAGAAACATGTACCATGGTTTGGTTTTAATTAGATAGTTAATTAGTTCGCCTACTGTAGACCATGTGGAGATTTGATACAAGATTGCTTACGTAGGCGGGTCCACTACCACTAAGTCCCGTCACAGCGTCTAGAAGTCCCTCAGTACTCGACTCACAGATCCCAATACAGCTCAGCAGTTCCGACACAAGTTCCGGATCCCCTGACAGGACGGCCGACCCGGGGGCGAGCACTGACGCCCCAGCCTGGACCAATGCGGGAGTGTTGGGCATCACGCGGACAACACGTGAGGCCGGAAGGAGATTCTGTAAATGTATGTACCCCGATATATTGCCATAGGAAAAAGGTGCTTAACTTATTTTTTTGTCAGAATGGAATCAACCTGAATTGTATATCACACGGACACAGATTTGAAATTTTCGTTACACCTACCATTATCGAAATTTTAACTGATTACCGTCACTAGTGTTAGTCTGTATATAATTGCAAAGTTAAAACACGATAGGGCGATATATTTAATTTCTGTATTGCGATACGATACGATATGCCTTTTTATTGCGATAAATTAGTGTTCCGATATACTGTAAAAATGATTATTTTAGCGTACTCAAATTTTAGCGTATTAATGAATTTTAACAGATTGGCGTATATAAGACAAAGCCCACTAATGATAGATGCAATATAAAACTATATAGATGAACTTCAATTAGCGCAGTCATACTTTAGCACAAGATTGAAAACGCGAGGAGCGTTACAATAAGAACACCGCGAAAATGTATATAATGCTTAGAGTATTGTGAAATCCTAATTTTCAGAATGTCTCACCTCTTCCAGTGTGGACAGGGTGATTCCAGCAGCTATGGACACCATGAGTTTGTCTCGAGAAAAGGAGGACGAGACCTGTTTAAGTACGGGAGTGATGATGTGAGGTTTGACCGCCAATACCACCAGCTGACTGTCGGCAACGACCTTCAGATTATCGTCCGTAACCTTGATGCCCATACTCTACAATACAAGTTCAAGGTCACACGTGAGAAAAAGGTACAAGGGTAAGGTCACGATCATTTGTGGAAAAAAAGCGGCAGACAATTTAGCGAGACCTAAGGTTCCCTGTCCCTTAGCACTCTGTTTTTTCCCTATATACAACTAGCCTCCCCTCAACTTCCGTTCGGATATAACTTTGGGAGAGATTAGCCAGGACATTTTGTTGACCGGTTAGCTCAACCGTTTAGAGAAAAAATTATAACGATCCGAAGTTTAGGATTCGAATCCCGGTCTAGCCCTGTTGTTGATTTATCTTTTGTTTATTTCATACGTATTGTTTCTCATAAAAGTTCAACAAATTGTGGTTTTCTTTTCAGAAAAGATTTCTCAAAGCTATAGTCATGCATGAAAAAAAACCAGGTTCCATCACTTAGTTATAGTTTCGAGTAGTGGTACGGGGATCCTTAAAATAAAAATGAAAAATTAATCATTACTTGTTTGCACATGTAATTGATATATTTCAATCGGGAACCGTCGGCACTTTCCGTAAACGTTTTTTTTCTTCTCGTTTACGGAATGTGCCGACGGTTCCCGATTGTGAGAGATTCGTTGCCATCAAATCGAAGGACACCGGAGATTCATAAACATGGAAAACGGGAGATATTTCTGTGAATGGCGGGAAAATAGCATTCCCGGTGTCGATGGAAAACAAATTAAAAATAACCAACGTACCTGGATAAATTCTAGACATCTTGGGTCCGGGTCACTGGCGACAATGTTAGATGCCTTCAAGATGCCTGAGAAAAAAAGGAAGACAGAAGATAAACAGAAAGATATTTTTGAAAAAACATTTTCCGAGCTGACACGAACAAACATTTTTGTCCAGTCAAGTGTTAAACTGCCTGAAAACAAAATTCGTCACAATTTCTTTCCGAAATTATTCCAAACCATGCTCCAAATGTGATTGTTTTAATGATTTACCACAGGAAGAAGAAAATAGGCCCGAACATAGAATCTGGGTTTGAGCATGAAAACGGATTTATGAATGCAGACATTTGTTTTTGTATTTCATCAGTTTCATACCATATTAAACACATGGACCTGAGGATTTGTTACAGCTATTGGATGGACCTAAACTAATGTGTTCAGAGTAATTTTACATGCTTTAAGGGTTTAGATCGACTTTCGGTAAAAATGACACCCCAATAATCACGTGATCATGTGATCATTGGGGTGCAATCTTTTTACCGAAAGTCGATCTAAACCCATAGTGCATGCAAAATTGCTCTGTACACCTTAGTTTAGGTCCAAATATAGCTATCCCAGGTCCCTGTGGTATTAAATAGTTATATTAAGTCTCCCACGAAAACCGTTGCTTTTTATTACTAACGCAAGGAGGTATACCATGGCAGCTTTCATCACCGTGCAATCAGCGAGAGAAATATATTCTGATGTAACTTTACGAAGACTAGTAACAGTACGCTGGCATGTAAAAGGGTATGTAGCGTTCATTCCACTACAGTTGCAGACTTGGGGCCTGTTCGTTTATGCGGAACAACCGGTTTGACCGTTTATAAATGTATCAGTTTCGGGTATAAATCCTAGCGGACCTGCAAATGTTTATGCAGGTCTTGCAAGGCTTTGTCAAGGCTCGCCTTAAAGCAGCATCAGATTACCAGGTCCGACCTTATTTAATAAACGAACAACAGTGGTCCGACCGGTTTGACCGTTTAAACGAAAACGGCCCAGACCTTACACAGAAACCCATGGTTACGTCCCATTAACAATCATCGCAGGTAATCGTAGCTTTACGCAGTCGCTTCTACATCACTCCATCCTGTCAATCGGGAACCGCCGGCACTTTCCGTAAACGAGAAAATAGAATTTCTCATTTACGGAAAGTGCAGACGGTTCCCGATTGTCCATCCTGTATTACTGTACCATTTTCCTCTTTAAATCAAGAAGTGACACTTCTCCTAATTTCTGTTATATATATCTAAGATTAAGCAACAATAACAACAACTAAAACAGTTTTTCTGGCTTTGGGTTATTTCCCTTGATACATGAATAGCAACATTTGCAAAGTACGATTGCCTATACTTGTCACTGAGAAAATGTATAAAAAAAAATTACTATCGCATTATATCGGTGATTTCGTTTTTACGGACTGCTTCATGTATTTCGTATAAAGTAATATCTATTCCGTTATTACGCGTTATCTTTTTTGGTGGGTTTTTTACGAGACAGCTATATCGCTTTTACGTAATTTTCTTTCCCAGTGACCCGTATAGGCTTCCGAAGTTAGTGTAGGGATGGCTGTATATGTGCCAAAATCGATCTCTGCTGTTTTTCTTTTTCTTTTTTTCCCTTATTTGTTTATTTTTATATGTATTGCAAATACATGTACTCATTTTTCGAAAAACAATATCTATATTATATAAAATATCAGTCAGCCGTGACTCGAGTTAACATAACGATACTACAATGTGAGTCAGCCGTGACTTGAGTTACCATAACGATACTACAACGTCAGTAAGCCGTGACAGGAGTTAACATAACGAAACTACAATGTCAGTAAGCCGTGACAGGAATTAACATAACGATACTACAATGTCAATCAGCCGTGACTGGAGTAAACATAAAGATACTACAATGTCAGTCAGCCGTGATTGGAGTAAACATAACGATACTACAATGTGAGTCAGCCGTGACTTGAGTTACCATAACGATACTACAACGTCAGTAAGCCGTGACAGGAGTTAACATAACGATCCTACAATGTCAGTGAGCCGTGACTGGGGTTAACATAACGATACTACAATGTCCGTGAGCCGTGACTGGAGTAAACATAACGATACTACACGTTATCTTTTTTGGTGGGTTTTTTACGAGACAGCTATATCGCTTTTACGTAATTTTCTTTCCCAGTGACCCGTATAGGCTTCCGAAGTTAGTGTAGGGATGGCTGTATATGTGCCAAAATCGATCTCTGCTGTTTTTCTTTTTCTTTTTTTCCCTTATTTGTTTATTTTTATATGTATTGCAAATACATGTACTCATTTTTCGAAAAACAATATCTATAGTATATAAAATATCAGTCAGCCGAGACTCGAGTTAACATAACGATACTACAATTTCAGTCAGCCGTTACTTGAGTTAACGTAACGATACTACAATGTCAGTCAGCAGTGACAGGAGTAAACATATCGATACTACAATGTCAGTGAGCCGTGAAAGGAGTTAACATAACGATACTACAATGTGAGTCAGCCGTGACTTGAGTTACCATAACGATACTACAACGTCAGTAAGCCGTGACAGGAGTTAACATAACGAAACTACAATGTCAGTCAGCCGTTACTTGAGATAACATAACGATACTACAATGTCAGGGAGCCGTGACAATGGTAAACATAACGATACTACAATGTCAGTTAGCCGTGACTGGAGCTAACATAACGATACTACAATGTCAGTAAGACGTTACTTGAGTTAACATAACGATACCACAATGTCAGTCAGCCGTGACTGGAGAAAACATAACGATACTACAATGTCAGTAAGACGTTACTTGAGTTAACATAACGATAATACAATGTCAGTCAACCGTAACTGGAGTAAACATAAAGATACTACAATGTCAGTGAGCCGTGAAAGGAGTTAACATAACGATACTACAATGCCAGTCAGCCGTGACTGGAGTAAATATAACGATACTACAATGTCAGTGAGAAGTGACTGGAGTAAACATAACGATACTGCAATGTCAGTGAGCCGTGACTGGAGTAAACATAACGATACTACAATGTGAGTCAGCCGTGACTTGAGTTACCATAACGATACTACAACGTCAGTAAGCCGTGACAGGAGTTAACATAACGATCCTACAATGTCAGGGAGCCGTGACTGGATTTAACATAACGATACTACAATGTCAATCAGCCGTGACTGGAGTAAACATAAAGATACTACAATGTCAGTGAGCCGTGCCAGGAGTTAACATAACGATACTACAATATCAGTGAGCCGTGACATGAGTTAACATAACGATACTACAAAGTCAGTGAGCCGTGACTGGAGTAAACATAACGATACTACAATATCAGTGAGCCGTGACATGAGTTAACATAACGATACTACAATGTCAGTCAGCCGTGACAGGAGTAAACATATCGATACTACAATGTCAGTGAGCCGTGACAATGGTAAACATAACGATACTACAATGTCAGTGAGCCGTAACTTGAGTAAACATAACGATACTACAATGTCACATAACGATACTACAATGTCAGTCAGCCGTGACAGGAGTTAACATAACGATACTACAATGTCAGTGAGCCGTGACAGGGGTAAACATAACGATACTACAATGTCAGTCAGCCGTAACTTGAGTTAACATAGCGATACTACAATGTCAGTGAGCCGTGACTGGAGTTAACATAACGTTACTTCAAACATAACGATACTACAATGTCAGTGAGCCGTGACTGGAGTTAACATAACGATACTACAATGTCAGTCAGCCGTGACAGGAGTTAACAACTTAACATAACGATTCTACAATGTCAGTCAGCCGTGCCAGGAGTTAAAGATCCCTGTCACACTGTATTGTGGTTCTTACAATATGCAGTAACCTCCCTTTGACACTTCCGTTGACAATGATGCCCAGTCGGTTAAAGCGACAGTATGACGATCTGATGGTCAGGGTTCGAATCCCGGTCTAGCCCCGATGATTGTTTTACATTTAGAACACTCTTGTTGATTTTATTTTGTTATTTCACCATAGGTTTTTTTTTAATAAAAATCCCACAAAGTCAAGGCTAAAGTCATACAGAAAAAAAGGTTTTAGATACGGGGATCTTTTATATAATATCTGGTCATCCAGAACAGGTATTTAACATAAAGCTGGTGCCCTGAGAACAAAATCGAATTTTTTTAAAACACTGACGATATGATAAAGGATTTAATTTAAATAACGTTTCGAACTAATTATCACAATTTATTAAATCATCCGTCACATGGCTTCGTTAACTACGTAGTACGAATTTCAATCAGATTGTAATTATCAATAAAAACCGATGATGTTTGGGACTAAGTATGAAATAATGTTTCTCCACTATTAAACTGAAACACACATCATTAACTCTGGCACTAAAAATGTTCTCATCATTCGATCAATACGCGATATACAACTTTCCTCTGAACAGTGAAGTTATTAATTAACTACGACACTAAATTCTACCGTTACAAATGTGTCAAATTATATAAAAAAAAAAATACATTTCCAAGCATTTTATTTTCGATTAAGGCCAAATAAAAAAAACTTGTTTGTTTCCAATTACCGTAATTACCTTATTGTTTGGTGCATACCCTAAACCCTTTTGTAAATTTTCAAGGAAGCACTGTTTAAGTCAAGATTTCTGTCCTAAAAAGAAACTATATAAAATAAAAAATATATTATTCATTACCTATCTACCTACTCTATTTTTTACTCAGACATGTAACAGGAAACAGACATGTGTTTTTTTGTTTGGCCTAAATCTAAATTAATTCAGGCTGTTAACTGGGTCGCGGGTTCGAGGCCTACGTGGGGCAGTCGCCAGGTACTAGCCGTATAGCCTAGTTTGGTGGTTTTTCTCCGGGAACTCCGGATTTCCTCCACCACCAAAACCTGGCACGTCCTTAATTCACCATAGCTGTTAATAGGACGTAAAACACAAACAAACCAAATCAAGAGTAAGTGCATGTGTCTTATTCTTGTGTTTTTCACAATCTCAAGTGTCCAGTGAAATCCCGTAAAAATGCTGATTCGGCGGAAAATGCTAATTTGATTGCATCATCGCTCACCTTTTAATTTAAGTGCATTAATCTAAATCTAGACGTTCACCTTCTGCTACAAAGTTATCATTTTCAAGTGACAAACATGCATCGATCTAGGAAGTATAATACATAAAACCAGCCTTATGGACTTGGAAAATGCTTTTACTGGTTCCTATAGACCTAATAAAGAAACGCATAACGTAAGTCAACGCCGACGAATGCTATTAGCGATTGCATCATCATATTTATGCTCAAGTGTGGCTTATTTAAACTTCGCCATTGAGCTTCTTAAATATATTCCCGAAAATTAATCAATTTCTATTAAATTTACTTCAAAATGAAAGAAAGGATACACTAAGTTATTGTATACCTCGATATCCGTGTTTTTGTTTGAGCTCATTATCAGTTTCTTAATTTCACTAGATGAACATTCATAATAGTTGTGATAAATCTACATACGTTCTTGTCAAAGGCTGACAACGGATACCAGCAGATATTAACACATCAAAACAGAACCCTGTTCTATCCGTTAGCGTACGACGATTACAGTTTCAATACAGGGACCTTATAATTTGTTACAGTTTTGCTACTGTTTGGATAAAATCGGATGTTTTCAGGCGTAAGGCGTTCAGATCAACTTTCGATATTATACTGTACCATCATTTGAGGTACATTTTTACCGAAAGTTCATCCAAACTTGTAAAACACCTGCTATTGTCAAAACACGTCAGTTTATGCCCAAACATAAACAAACTGTAACAAATTATCAGGTACCTGTGTTTCAACACCGTTTTTCGATTGCATCATCGTTCCAGCCGTGCTAGTCAGAGTAAATAGTAAATCTTTTGTTCCCTTCAATTGTTTCAGACTTTAACCTTTTCACCACTGTAGATCATAATGGACTTATCCAGATCAATGAATGGTAGATTTTATTAAAGTTACGTAGGGTTGAAAGGGTTAGTTGATTCTATTGATCAACTGAAATAATATGCGTTTCCTCTTTTCTTTTATGCCTACACTTGGAAATCCTTTCTACTTCAAAAGTTTATGGCCGAAATTCAGAAACTGCATTCGACCTTGTCTATTTTGTATAATCCACTGTTTTATAATTGATAAACCTTTAAAACGGAATGTTTAAAACAAGTTTTATAGATTCATTTATCTAGTAATTTATATTGTTCAACGATAGTGAAATAAAATGCTTTGTAAAAAATAGTTTCAAATATCAACCGGAATGGGACACACAAATATAATATGTAAGTTAGCCTCATGTCCACCCCGTAATATTACAAACGAAGATAAACATAAACAAATCCTATGTCATACTTTCACTTCTTTTGTGTCACATTTCAAACTAACAAAGGAGTACTTTACAAGTCATTTATATTTGTCTATGGTTATCGCCCGAGGAGCCCCAGCATGGACGAAAGTACTAGCGGGATTTATTCTTCGGTGTTTTGTTTATTTATTGTATGTATACATTTACTGAATATACCTATTATCACGTCCAGTCAGTTTTGTTGAAAGTCGGTACACGAGCCACTTACAATTATTGCATCACTGCTAATTTGCATGAAATAATCGTCGATTTTGTACCGTTTTGTTTGTGCTAACCAGCTTTCTTTATATTGGTAATAAAATAGTATTATTCTAAAAATGATATAAACTTTTAGTTTATGTATCGTTTTTATTTATTTGTCTGAAATAAAGCTAGAAACGGACGTTTCAATCAGCTGTGTAAAACTATATTGCATCATCGTATTGTGAATTGAGGCCAATTAAAGGGTAACCGATCCGTAAACAAAGTCCGACTTTTGGTTCTAACATTAAACACATACTTAATTCCGGACAGCACATGTGTACTCACCTGTGGATATAAAGCCCTTGACCATGGCCTGGGCCATTCGGCCGGCTCCTATAAATCCTACTGTCATGTCCTCCGGTACATGTTTCCTCGACACCGTCGGGCAGGCCATCTGATCTCTGTGTTACGTTATGTTAAAGCTGAAACGCACCGGTGAATGTCAGTGACCTCAGCACTATAACAGAGGCGCGTTCGATTACAAACTGTGATCTCTAATTTGTTACGGCTTATAGCTATGTTCGCAGACCTTAACTGGCGTGTCCAGAAAATAAACTTACGTTTTAGTAGCATACAACTATTGGGTTGAAATATTTACGTCTAACTGTACTCTCTACACATCGGGTAGTTTCAAACATATGTATACAAACTGTAACAAATTATCGGGTCCCTGTGTTACAATCGGTAAGCTGATGAGGTTAACAGACTCTCAGACTTTGAGACTGATAGACAGATTTGTGATAGAACCTTATCTCTACGGGTTGATGTGTCATGGATTTAGATAAAATATGCACAGGAGCTTTAAATTCAGTAATTTACACAATAATACAAAAATAAATACCTATAAAATGCTTAAAAACTAGAAGCATATTATAGGTATTTTTTTTATATTACTGTTATCATTAATTTTTGACAGGATTTCAGGCTGCTTTGAAAATATTTAAATAACAGTTTCATTTGGTAATAAACCACAAACTCCAACGCTTTTATTTAATTTCTACAATTCTGGAACTGGAGCGAATCGGGGCCCAGTTTGTAGTGGACAAACTACACCCGGCTCGCTACCTTTGTGTCGTCCGTCAACCCAGGTTAGATTTGGGTACTACTTGTTTCTGTTGATGGAGAAACGACTCAACTATGATAAAAAATTTACAACAATGTTTATAAACGGAAATATGTACAACAAGTAAACATGAACAACACCTAGGCCTAACAGTTACATGACACGAACACAACCCTGCCGAGACGACCCCCCACCCCCACCCCCCACCCCCGCTAACCCTAACTTTTCATATAACTTAATCATAAAGTTCACTAAATCCTACTGAATAAGTTAATAATAACCCCCAGATTCCGATCCCGTCCAATATCCAGCTACATTCAGTATTTCTAAGGACACCCAGTCCTTCGATCTGCCCCGAAACGAAAGTAGCACCCCGCTATACACCACATTGACAATTCAAAACTAGCTAGCGACTAATGTGTTTAAAACTGCATTTAGACTATCTGCGCTAACATCCGGGTCAACAAGAGTGATTTATATAAGCTGATAGAAATGGTTTCAGAAATGTTGTAAAATGAAAAAGGAAATAAATGTGGGTAGCCCGGCCGAGCTTCCTCTGGCCCTGTCTGACACCAGACCTGGACATTTATCTGGAACGTCATGTGGTCTGTACGAGAATCATATATTTGTGGTCTTGATTTTTTTCGACTGAAACTTTAAATATATCATCATGGTAATTTTAACAGCATCAGGATTACTGTGCATCAAAATAACCAATCTTGTTAAAATTAGGAGATTGTAAAATAACTTATGTATTTTCTGTAATTATCATGAAGAGATAGATCTCTTAATCAGACGTTTAATTTAATCAGCAAAATTCACATTCTGCCATGACATTTTCAAGTACGCTGTTAGGGGCCCCATTGAAAAATGATACAATCAAACTTGTAAACCCAAGTCTTTTTTTTTGTATGTCACAACCCCTTCCTATTATGGGCGGAGTGGTTAACACTCCGGCCTTCCACGCAGGCGGCCGGGGTTCGATACCCAGAAGTCGTCGTACGCATGAACTTCAGAGAAAGTGTTTTTTTTCCTGCCCACATAACTCCAACAACCAAGGTGGAGTATACATTGGTCTGGGTGGATGTTTGGGTATCTGTGCTGTAGCATTCAAGTGCGGTGGCACTATAAATGATGCCGTTGGAAGCACGGTCCCACTACAAACAGAACACACTACATCTCCAGCACACACGCAGGCATACACACATATAGGGATATATTAACCAGGTGGCATTGGACTAGTTGTTAGCGCCTGTTAAGGCAGCTCCTGCGAATTCCTCAAAATTGTGTTGACTAATGTATATGATAACTGTATAAATTGTTTATCTATGTACTGTAAAGCGCTTTAGATCAGCTTATGTTAACTAGATAGAGTGCTATATCAAATGCTGTATATTATTAGTATCATTATTTCAAAGGTAAAGGGGCGTAATCCCTTTTCATTTGGTATACAAAAGTCGAGTCACTTAAAAAAACTGAGTTTGCTACAGATATATTTAAATTCTATGACAGATCTAAAATAAAACTGAATACATTAGGTGAACAATAATGAAACGATTTTTAACAGCACACGTCTAAACACATTTAAAATTCACATCACAAAATATAATCAAACTGAAGTTATTTTCACAAAAGACATGCACGCGAGGCCTTCTGACTGTTTCTCGTCCGTAGATTCCAATATATAATTGTATTATGTTTAGTCTTTAGTATTCAGTGCTTTCTGGTGGTACATATTAAGCCTCCATAAACTATATATTTTATACAATATCATCATTCCCTGGTGCCTGTGACATTGAGCCTTATCACTGATCATGATTGAATCACGTACGACGAACGTGTTTTCGATTTTGTTGTCGACTTTCACAGAAAAGAGGTGGTGGGAGTTTGGATATAAAACAGGATTTGAATCAAAAAATATATTTTGTATAAATGCATTTAAAACTCGGATCACAAAATAACTTAAATGTCTTTTCAATTTCCCAAGTAGATCATTATGCTCTCACAACATGCACCATCTTCGACATCCCCGATATCCAGGGGTTACGTCATCCTCGATATCCAGGGGTTACGCTCACTTTCGCTCTCTACACCCCTGTACTATGTCATACGGAGTAAAATTGAAGGCTCAGTGTGCGCCACCGTGTTGATGAGACAAGAAGACTAGTTCGATCCTTTGATGTACACCAAAAGAATCTCGCGGTCACGTAACGGTACAAATTAAGAGGCTGATTTCAGGAGGACTGCGTGTCAGAATATCAGTAAGATCTTCAACTTTTGAAATGAGTTTCATGTCTTTTTTATTTGTTTTATATATCGATATTTAATTGGTGTTGCTCTTTAATTACCTCCCTTATTCTATTCAATTTTCTTCATCTTGCTGCTTGCTGCTATCTTTGAACACAAAATCAGAAATCCGTTCAATGCACTGTCTAACAATATTTTTTATTAACTATCAAATAATTGTAATGTATATTAATTGATATCTGTTATAATAAGTACAACAATATTTAGAGTCAACAAAACAAAACTGTTTCCAACGGTGACGTCATTTAATGGACTTGGAAAATGTCAGTCATGTATTAAGTGCGTCATGACGTCATAGCGCGTATAGGCTATCGACAGCCTTCACGCGCTATGACGTCATATACCATGTCGAGTTTCCCTGGGAAAGACATGTTTATTTTTTCACAGTTAAATTTCCTGATTTTCACTGAAGAAGACGACATCTTTCACTCTTTTTTGTTAAAAATCTTTTCATTTATAGTTTTCTTCGACTTTTACAGGAAATGCAATTTCATCTCTTAGAATGAAGCCGTCGAATTCGTCAAATTCCATGGAATTTTCATTAAGTGATTGATCGGTATGCCTTTCTTGAATGGTTCTGATGCTTGAGTGTGTGGTATCGGCGGATATATGAGTAAAATCTCTCGTCTATCCGTTTTTAAAATAGTACAAAACAATCAGGCTATTTCACCTTCACAACAATAATTCCTATGGTTTCTGGTGTGTACCAAATTAATTCAATTCATTTCAAAACTGCATGACAAAACACAAAAATGTCTTGAAAATTCAATTGCTCATTTATTGACAAATAATTAGACAACAAGAGCATTCAATTTCATAAATAATACATGCTATTATTCATAAATATATATATCTACATGGCATATATGTTGCAAGAAATATTTCTGTTAGTTCACACTGAACAAATGAAACGTTTAACCCAAGAATAAGTCTCTTTAATCTCAAAATTAATACTTGATCAAACAACCTAAATAGCAAGTTTTTCTAAATTCTTAAAAAAACAATCTTAATTTCGTAATAGTACGCGCACTGCTGATTTTATCAATAGAGAAATCGTTTAAATTTCAGAGTAAGCGTTATGGAAATATTATGGATTTTATGTTGAATTTAATAAACCGTTTTACTGACCGGATTAATGATAACCAAGCCCAGAACGTGTGTACTGTACGTGACACGCCTGTACATCAATAAGAAGGTGTGCGTACCTGATAACAGAATGGAATCGCCCGATTGAAATATTCCAAGCAGACGTCAAATCGACGCCACATTTCAGTCCGACCATACGCTTTTAAAATCGGACAGGATAGTAACGAACATATTATATCCCGTTATGAAGCGAAAAAGGCGCTTTACTGGATATTTATGCATTCGGCAAACCTCGGCCGATTCCGGTACCTTTCATGATGTAGGTACGGAATCTGCCGAGATGTGACGAGTGGGTATTTATGTAATGTTACAAAATAAACAATTTAACAATTAAGGCACACTGTAATACATAATGGCGAGGAAAAAGGGCAAAGTACGCAGGAACTAAATTTTGATGTCAAACGAAGAATGACGAAAATGAAGTTGAAATATTTAATAAATCGAATCCTGAACGTAAGGTGTCGACAAACATTAATCAGTCCCACACGCACCCTCAATTAATCGCACTCTTCAAAACCCCAATGAACCCGATCTATAAAAATCCCGAAATTCTAGTACACATTTACAGTAAATGGAAACTTTCAGTTACCTTACTCATGAAACATTAAATTGTCCCCATCTTCATGAAACCGTTCTTATACAAAATCTCAGATTCTGTGCTTAAGTGCAATTTCTTATTTCGGTGGTAAATTAAAATATAAATCACATTTTGTCAATATTTTAAAATAATTTTCGAGAGTCTCGGGCGCGTAGCTGGATTGTAAACGACGTGCATGCAATATGTGTATTCTAATCACCTAGTCTCACCCTTTCAAGGAAAGAGTGTTTTTCATGGCATAACTTAAGCTTTGATTACTCCTTTCTGAAAATAACCCATGTCTTGACGAAATTCTATATAAAATAATGAGGCCAGACCAGGATTCGAACCCTGGGCAATCAATCATTGAACTGGCGCTTAAACTAACTCGGCTTTCTAGTCAACGGAAGTATCCTGGCCCTTCCGCTGCTCTAGTTATATTCTAAACCAAAATGAGGGGAGGTTACTCTATGCACAGAATTGTACAGTGGAGCTCTCTAGTGTTCTGCCTGCAGTGGGACACGGATCCTTAAGATCATTATACAGTAGGGTACAAATAAAGATGTAATGGAACATTCATGATATTCACAGAAGACGTTTATTGACACGGTGTACATCAAAGAAGGACATATTATAAAAGCACCACCAGCCAAAAGGCCATTGTTCTTTCAGTTTAAGAAGCTAATTTAAAATATCATTTTCGCAATAAAAAATATACGAATCCCAAACACCGATTCTCGTCCAATTTAATCGTTACATCTTCCCTATACCCATGGGATCTCTCATGACAAAACTGAAGGCACGAAGTTAGCGGTTTGATTTGTTTCAGGTATAAGAAAAAATGATCAATCGCTAGGCTGTTCCTGTCCTTTAATGCAGAAGGGCGACACCCGACTTCACAATTAGTCAATTTTACCGTTACGATGCCGCACGATTTCTTTGATGTACATCAAAGGATAAAAGTAGTCTAAGTGTATCATCCACAAGGTTGGGCATACAGAGCATTCACTTTTGTTAAAGGGTTAATATTGTTAGTAAAACACGCGGTGCTAGGCCGAATCGTGTTTCCCACAGCGACGAGGACACGTCGACGATAGACGGAGATGAACTGTTCACCATCAAGATACAATGCTGTAATAAAAAAAGAACAATGAATTTATCAAACAATTATTTCAATTTCTAAAAATTCTCAGAATTTCTATTTTCATTTATCTATTCATTTATCTATTCGTTTATTTATTCATTTATTTATCATATGACATCTTTGATACAAATAATAAAGTAAAGAGTGTGTATTTTTCTACAGGAAAAATAACTAGTTACAAGAAGTATGCTTGAGAAATACCTTAGTCAAACTTCACGAGACTACATTTCATGTTATGTGTCCAGAAAAATATTATAATTGAGATGAATAGCAATAGCCACTATATGTCCAAGCATTCGGGCTTAGCCCTTTAACAGGGATTAAAAGGTCCTCAGCCTTACGCCAAATCCATATTTGAAAACAGGAAGTGTGTGTGTGACTTCCTGTATTAAAACATGGATGTGACATAATGATGAAAACCCCAGATGAAGGGCTAAGCCCGAAAGCTTTGACGTAAAGTGATATTTTTCTATTTATTTTGTTATGGGCTGTAGCGTATTGGACTGTCCACGTATTTCTGTCGGTCCACCTAGGAGATTAGTATAACATTTTCGGGACTTCCCGTCATTGTATGTGTATATATGATAACTAGCGAGAGACTCAGAATGCAATAAACTATGTACTTTTGGAACGTGATGAGTTGTGAGCAACCAAATTTCAATCTGAGAAGGATATCAAGGATATTACATGGTCCTTGAAGGAACTTTTTGATATTCTTTTACATTTGAGATATTTAAGCAATTAATAATGTACGCGGTACATGTTATTTTGTTGAGAATGAGTTCAAGCAATATCAGAAGTAACTCAGAAATTAAACGTACAGTAGATTGATTCTCTGGTGAAAATGTGTATATTTACTTCAACTCACCATCCAACTTTACCGACCACAGTTCTTTTATCACCGAGCATGCGCAACAGGAAACTTCCCTCATGACCACGTGATTTGCAATACGGAACTATGACGTAGTTTCCTTCTTCCAAATCCAAGCGTCCGCTTACCTCCCGTTGGTCACGGGCGGATTCAAACTGACCTATTGTCTGAAGCTTAGACAGAGGACGTTTTTCGTCTTTGTCAGAACTCTTTGTCTGCAAAAGGGAGACAATTCAGATGATTTATCAAACATTTACACACAAACAAACAATAATTAATAACATTTCTGTAAGCAAAACGTACCAAAAATGAGTTACCCATTAGAAATGGTGCGTGGCGTTGTTGTAAACCGTCTTTTAATTTTGAATAAAGCGCAATAGATTGCACTTCTAAATCCTCCACTTCGTTAATGCAATAATGTTTGCGCCATTGTACTTTTTAAAATGTAATGTAGTCGAGTATGAATAGTAGCATATATGGTATTCAACTTAAACCATTAAATATCATATATATGTGACATAATTCTTCACCTTATAAACACCAAACCCTATTGGCACAAGTAGGCTGTTGGCAGTCGACGGTCCGTGACGACAATCCTGTAATAACGAGATCAGCACGTGCGATTTCCCACGAAAAGGTGGCGGCGAAATAGTATCGTCAGAGGTTTGGCCGTTATTAATGGCAAAGCATATTCTAGGATTGTTAGAATTAGTCTTCATGTCGTTCGAACCTGTCGTCATTTGCTCTGAAACATTTACAGAACGATAAAGTCATTGATATATCTCATCGTTAAAAAAAACCCAGAACACCGAAGCGTCAACAAAATCGTAATTCGACTCAACATCGATTTAGCTACGATAAAATATGAACAAATAAAAGATTTACACGTAGATCCTTCAACTAGTTCAAAGATAACAGGATAAGGTATTTCGGAAGGGTAGGAGCCTTCTGCTTCATAGAGAGCCCCACCATGTAAATCTATGTCAAATCCGAATAATGCTACGTCTACAAAGCAACATCTGAGTTAGGGACAACGACTGTACCCGCCAGGTAAATCTAGGTCAAATCAAAATAATGCCACTTTCTCAAATCGAGATCTGAGCTAGTGACAACGACTTTACCAGCCAGGTATACTGGCCGTAGGTCGGTGGTTTTTCTCCGGGAACTCCGGCTTTCCTCCACCACCGAAACCTGACACGCCCTTAAATGACCATAACTGTTAATAGGACGTAAAACACAAACAAACAAACAAACCCGCCAGGTAAATCTGGGTCAAATTAAAGTAATGTCATGTCCTCAAAGTCAGAGATGAGGTAGTGATAACAAAACAATAACGCATACCAAAAATAAATGTACCGACCTTCATAACACACAAACCAAACACATTTTTCGATGAGATCATGATGGTGATTATGAACAGAAAATAAGACACAAAAAACAACGTCATCACCAGAAAAGAAAATAAGATTATATGTAGGGTAAAAAAAAAAGTTCACATTAAGTATTATGCATGATCCTAATAGAAAGACACTGTTGGCTTTTTTGTGAAAATAATTGTATGATCCACATATATTATTATTGATAACTATTCCTTTAGTGTAATTTTTGTCGACTTGGATGATTAATGACAAAAAAGAGCTCTAAAGCAACAAATATTTATCTGGTAGTTGAAAGATTAACGTTATACAATACAGGTGATTGCATTTTTAAAATTTGGTAATAGTTGCAGCATGCCAGAAATTAATTACACTGAAATATATATATTTTACATCATAATATATTTTTTGTAACCCCCGTTTTAAAAATAGGTCCCCGCTATATATCAAAATGATTACTCCACTCTTTTTGATATATAGCGGGAAAAGATGCAAATCACAAGGCATTCTACTTTCTACTTCGTTATTTCTCATTTACCTAAGATTTTATCTACGTGCGAGCGATGAGAAAATTGTTCTCACGGCAATTCTTGAAAATACAGTGCGATAATCTATAAATATTCCTTAAATAATTTGGAATATGTTCTTATTCAATAAAGCGTAAACCAAGGGTATCCATTAGGCCCATATGAAATAACTAATTTTGACCAAATTTTGAGTTAACATATATAAAAAATGCAAAAAACATGTGTAATATTTAGTTTCACATTTTCCTTCATTAAAAGAAATTTCGATTTAACAGAAACATGAAGTTAAAACGAACGGTAAGTTTGTTTTCTGAAAATATCGACTTCAAGAAAAATATTTTATACAACATAATCATTATTAACAAGAGTGTGTTCTGCTACATACTGTTGCAAACATATATAATCAACTCAAATGTTTTAAATATTTAACGGAGATGCTGTAATTTTGAGGCAAAATTGTTAAAACTGTTATTTGTCATTGCTATTAAACTGACAATTCATACTTTCATATATTTAAAACTTTGAATTGTAAATAAAAAGAAAATACTTGAAATTTAGCATACAAAATATCCTCCGATGGGAGATAGCCTAAGCTAGAAATTCCTCTTTTGATCAAAACTCGAAAAAATCTAAATCGGTTTCGAAATCGTGATATTATAATTTTTTGAAGAAAACAATCTTATTGCGTCTAAGATGTTTTTTTTTGCAGCAAATTTAACAATTCACGTATGCCACAATATATGACGTCACAAACACAACATGTCAATGTTTTCACGTGCAGGTGATACAATGCATCCTCGATATCCAGAGGTTACGCCCACTAACGCTCTATGCACCCCTGGAATATCTCAAAGGCTCAATGTGCGCCACCTTGTGGATGAGGCAAAGTCTAGAATCTCTTAATCGCTTAACGGTAAAATTGACTGGCTTTGGATTCGGATGTCGCTCTTCTGTAATATTCAAAGGAAAGGTATTAGCCTAGCAAGTGGTCAGGTGTTTTTACCTGAAACCAAACACATAGCTAGCCGCGTACCTTCAATTTTGCTGACATATTCCAGGGGTGCAGAAAGCTAAAAAGAGAGCAACCAACGGAGTATTGCATCCTCGATATCTAGGGATTACGCTCACTTTCGCTCTTTGCACCCCTGGAATATGTCATACCAAAATTGAAGGCACGCGGCTAGCTATTCGATTGGTCTCAGGTAAAAGTTCCTGACCAATCGCTAGGCTGATACTTGTCCTTTGAAGATTAAGGAGGAGCGACGCCCGACTTCAAAGCCAATAAGTTTTACCGCTACGCGACCGCGTTATTCTTTTGATGTACATCAAATGATCAAACTAGTTTTCTCGTCTCGTCCACAAGGCGGTGCACACTGAACCTTCGATTTTACTATGACATGTTCCAGGGGTGGCGTGAAGAAAGCGAATGTGAGCGTAACCCATGGATATTGAGCATGGGCGTATTAAGGATGGATACAAAGATGTTTTACACTTACTCGTCCATTTGTCATAGTGCTCCAGAATTCCTTTCCAATCACCATGCGACCGGAAACTGTCTTTCTTCATTGCCAGGAAGTTGCTCTGAGTTAAATGGGAAAGAGATCCAGTCGAATAGGTCCGGGGATGCAAAAGGGGAAAAGACAAGTTTCGACAACCTGAAGTTAAAGAGTTCTCACGAGATATGTGATCTGGAATGTTAACTGAAATATCGGAAGTAGAAAAGGTGCTCTCCAGTTCGGACGAAACTGAATTAGTAGAAATACTGTTATTTAATGGCTGCAGTCGGTCATATCTTAGATTGTCTAAGCGTGTGTTCGCGTGTGAAGCACTGCGCTTGCGTGCGTATCCCATTGGATCATGTGACCTGGCACTATTTGGGTTTTCTGAGCCTCGTCTTCGTTGTTTCAAAAGAATTGTCATTATACTTTCTTCGTCCATCGTATCGACGCGAGGCGAAATGATGCCTACTTTATTATGTGTGAACTGATCTTTCTTGGTAGTATCCATTTTGATAGTTTGTTTATTTTCCTTCACAGTGATCTCGTTGTTTGCTTCCTGTATACGAGGGGATATTTTATTGGTATACAGCTCCGCCGTATATTTCTCAATATGAGCGTTGTTCACCACGTTTGACACGGAATGTCTGCTGTCCGACTCGTTGCTCGTGTTGTTATTGACAACCATACCCGCTTCCTTTGTGCACGAGTAAACTCTATCAAGGTTGAATCCCTCCAATCGAAAGGGTTCTTTCCCGCTGCAGATAACTAATCCACCAAAATTACACCGGAAGTCTTCCATTGAAAGCCAATATTCATCCGAGTCTTTACATAAAAGGGGTCGGTACCGTTCCAAAAATCCGGAATTCAAAGATTTCCATGAAAGTTGATCCCTATGGATTCAAGAGAAAGAGAAATAAATGGTATTGGTAATGTAATGGTGATTTATACATTCTGTTTTTCAGTAATGATGGTCGATATTTTCTTAATGTCAGTAACGTGTAAATCCTTTACCTAATTTTCTACCGACTGTCCACGCTTACCTCCCCATACCACAGTTTTCAATGATTGTTCACTGTAGGAATGGGTCAGTGTACTTGTTTTGATCTTACACCGATAAGAAATCAATGTCAAATATTGATGACTTCCCTTTTGCGAGGCACTTTAAAAGTTACATTCATTTTTGTGCCGCCAAGGTCAAACAGATTTGAACCTCAGTACTGACGTCCTAACGGAATAAAACTATTGCGTCAAAGTTTCGATTTCAAAAAAATCGCCTGTTAGGATATTTTTGGAAATCATCTCGCATAATATGTTATTCATTTCTAAAGCCAAATATGCTGACATTTACTTATATTTATATTACAAAAAGGAATCAAATTTATCTATCTGAGACAAAGTTTCCACGACATTATAAACCTTACGACCGTACAAGGCCGTTTCTCCTTATTTGTCCACGTACTTGTATATTTGTCTATGTTTGTCCACGTACTTGTATATTTGTCTATGTTTGTCCACGTACTTGTATATTTGTCTATGTTTGTCCACGTACGTGTATATTTGTCCATATTTGTCCACGTACTTGTATATGTGTCTATGTTTGTCCACTTATTTGTATATTTGTCTATATTTGTCCACGTACTTGTACATTTATCCATGTTTGTCCACGTACTTGTATATGTGTCTATGTTTGTCCACGTTCTTGTATATTTGTCTATGTTTGTCCAGGTACTTGTATATTCGTCTATGTTTGTCCACGTACTTGTTTATTTGTCTATGTTTGTCCACGTACTTGTATATGTGTCTATGTTTGTCCACGTACTTGTATATTTGTCTATCTTTGTCCACGTACTTGTATATTTATCCATGTTTGTCCACTTACTTGTATATTTGTCTATGTTTGTCCACTTATTTGTATATTTGTCTATGTTTGTCAACGTACTTGTATATTTGTCTATATTTGTCCTCGTACTTGTATATTTATCCATGTTTGTCCACGTCCTTGTATATTTGTCTATGTTTGTCCACTTACTTGTATATTTGTCTATGTTTGTCCACTTACTTGTATATTTGTCTATGTTTGTCAACGTACTTGTATATTTGTCTATATTTGTCCTCGTACTTGTATATTTATCCATGTTTGTCCACGTCCTTGTATATTTGTCTATGTTTGTCCACGTTCTTGTATATTTGTCTATGTTTGTCCAGGTACTTGTATATTCGTCTATGTTTGTCCACGTACGTGTATATTTGTCCATGTTTGTCCACGTACTTGTATATGTGTCTATGTTTGTCCACGTACTTGTATATGTGTCTATGTTTGTCCACGTTCTTGTATATTTGTCTATGTTTGTCCACTTACTTGTATATTTGTCTATGTTTGTCAACGTACTTGTATATTTGTCTATATTTGTCCTCGTACTTGTATATTTATCCATGTTTGTCCACTTACTTGTATATTTGTCTATGTTTGTCCACTTACTTGTATATTTATCTATGTTTGTCCACGTACTTGTATATTTGTCCATGTTTGTCCACGTACTTGTATATGTGTCTATGTTTGTCCACTTATTTGTATATTTGTCTATATTTGTCCACGTACTTGTGTATGTGTCTATGTTTGTCCACTTATTTGTATATTTGTCTATATTTGTCCACGTACTTGTATATTTGTCTATGTGTGTCCACGTACTTGTATGTTTGTCTATGTTTGTCCACGTACTTGTATATTTGTGTATGTTGACCACGTATACGATGAAAAAGCAACGTGATGCCACTTTTCAAATTAGTAATTAAAAGGAATAAGGAGATAAAGAATTCTATGTTTTACACCTACATTGCACAGGGACCTGAGAATTTCTTACAACTGTATTTGGACCTAAACTTAGGTGTTCAGAGTAATTTTGTTTTTTCACTTTTAAAGGTTCAGACTCGCATACATAATCATTGGAGTGGCATTTTCACCGAAAGTTGATCTAAACTCCTAAATCGTGTCAAGTTACCCTGAACCCTCTAGTTTAGGTCCAAATATAGCTGCAACAAATTATCAGGTCCCTGTGATACATATGCAAGACCACACACTTGTGTTTTTCTAACTTTTTTCTTTGTATCGATCTCTAACAAATACGGAAGGTATGTGATAAAAGCAAGACCACACCGCGCACTCGTGAATATATACGTCCGCGCAATAAACTCGTGCTTTCTGATTCGTTAGAAAAACACAAGTGTGTGGTCTTGCTGTTATCACATACCTTCCGTATTTGGTAGAGATTAATACAAAGATTTTATAAACTTTGATATTTTTTGCAAATACCGGGAACTTTTCATTTCTCCATGACGGGGGGATTACCATAAAAAGGAGTTCCGGCTAGTAGGTAAATACAACTTTCCGCATTGCACATGTGCGATACAGAACTTTGTATGTGATAAATGGGCGAAAACAGACAATAACCGACCTGTCAGAGTATTTCCCTTTCCATCGCGGCTCCGCGTTGAATGGACACTTAAGTCTTATAACTTCCACCATCCTTGCGTCCATTGAAGGAAACTGCAAACAATGAGAAATACTTCACGCGATAGTTTTATTTCCCTCTTACCTTGGAGAGTTCCGAATACATTAAATATGTTAAGATGGATTTCAAGTTATACTCGCATTTAAGCAAAGACGTATGAGCAACAGTGCGGACTAAGGAATTTGTTTTCGAGTTAATCTTCCCTTTCTCAAACCACAAAAGTGAAACAATTCCAAATCACATTATATAACACAGAGACAATTAGCACGATACATTACCTGAACACCAACTCTGCTTAAAGTCACATGTTTACGTAGGTGGTCAGTTGTGATGATAGTGAGTTAGTCTATTGCAGAAATGGTGTACAGGTAAATTGCACAGGTAAATCAACATCCGATAACTAATCAGATAATCAATAACTGCTAATAATTGCAAAATAATAATTAATGTTTAGAGTTCCGATCCCAAGCTGTTTAATGGATAATGTTTAAAACAGCAGCACACTTTGGAGAATTATCATATTTCGCTCTGTACTTGGAAACATCAACTTCTTTACTCAGTGAAATTTGTGTGAATTCTCTTTTAAGTATTGTCATATAAAACTTGTACTTATTTTCAGATTTGTGTGAACTGTGTTTAACTTGTGTGACTTCAGTTTGATATTATTATCTGTAATTGTGTGCTTTGATACATCAACTACAAGATGGCAAACGCTCAGATCAACGTTAAGTTCATCACCAGCAGAAGAGGCCGACAGAACCTTTCCCATGGCCGATTCATATACAGACAAATACGTAGAAACGGCAACATAACATTCTGGAAATGTTCAACCTCAGGTTGTTCAGCTTCCCTCTCGACAGTAAACCACAACCAGCAAACTTCGGAAGACATCAACACAACCACTCCGCATACCCAGCCAGTTTTGTTGCAAAACAGATAATGAACCAGACCACCAACCGCTGCGTAGAATCTATCAGACCGATACCTTCATCTTCGACGAGGAACTCGACCAACTCTCGGACCTCGGACTACCAACAATCTGGAAGCTTGGTACGGAAATATTTATATTTAATAATTAACTTTTAGTGCTGTATTAAATGTGTATTACTGGTATATGTATCAATGTGACTTAAATTAAGGAAATTTATTTTTCATAAAATGTAATGTTATATTTATTTTTTATATAATGTAAATATTAATATTTAATGATTATTTTCTATTACTTAGTGCTGTGTTAAATGTGTATTACAGTTATATGTATGAATACAGACGTTTTATCCATTTTATTATTGACTTTAGTAGCATATCTACAAAATGAGTTGACATTCTTAGTTGAAACGGGCTATAACTAAACTTCAACTTTCCTATAAAAACGACTTCCTGCCATTTCTCCTGAGTTGGTGTTCGGGGAATGAGCCCAGAAAATGTAAGACATGTAAGCCCCCGCCGCCGTGTGAAATTAGTTTCAGTCTTTGATAATGTTCTATTAATAATTACAACGACTTTGATCCCGACAGCCTGACATATGTGCGCATTCAAGGTATTATACTTCAAGTTGATAAATAGAGAGAAACATCATTTTATAAATAGCGACATGCATTGACCTTTGAAACATGAACTCATCCGAGGTATTCTATTACCTTAAATCTGTATAAACTTTGATGATCTGTTAATGAATGAAGTAGCTAGAGTGAGGATGCTGAGTCGTTTGTTTACTTTCTACACTGTATATATAGCAACAGTGACCTTGACCTTGACCTTCGAACTGAAACACAAAGTTGTCCCAGGTATTATCATACCTGACCTTTGTGTACATTTTGATTCAAATTCATCAGGTAATAAAGTTGGTAGACTTATGACCCTTTGGTTGATGATTTTCTATTAATAGCAAAAGTGACATTGACCTTGACCTTGGAATCCTGAAACATGCACACATCAGAGGTATTCTTATACTTGAAATCTGTATAAACTTTGATGAAAGTTTGTAAAGAATGAAATAATTAGAGTGAGAACAATACATCAATAGATGATTTTCTGTTATACAGCAAGTGACATTGGCCTTGACATTGGAACCGAGGTATTCTCATGCTTGACCTTTGTATAAAGTTATATGAAAATCCGTAAAAAAAATGAAGTTGCTAAATTGTGACTCGGGACGGGACGAACAAAGGCAACACAATTCCGTCTTTGCGTATTGCAGAGTTAATTTCTCTTGTGAGCAGGTATTGATTGTTACGTCATTGGTTTGTGTGAGAAAATTACGTCATTCTCAAAAAATGATGACGTGACTCTCACAAAAAATGACGTAACAATCAATACCTGCTCACACGAGCAGATAACTCTGCAATACGAAAAGACGGAATATGCCCCCCCCCCCCCCCCCCGAATTGTTTGGCCGGGGAAGGGAGCAAAGAAAGGTAACACGTCCATTTTATGTGTACTTACCTTCGTGACGTCATTTTTACGTGTACTCACCTTAGTGACGGCAGTGATGATATGAAGGAATCTCTCCTCGTCTCCTGATTCGATTTCTTCCTCTGGCTATTAATAAGTTTTTAAAATATTTTAAATCAACATTTTATTCTGGAAGGAATGGTTTCACATTTTGAAATCTGATTGGTCATTTGTTCATTCCCCAATACAGGGGTTTCAAGCATTAATGCACACAAATGTTTGATTCTATTTGTATGGAGATCAAGGATTTTCCTTTTTCTTAATTTAAGAACCAGATGAAAACTACTTTTATTAAATTAAGAAAAGAAATCTTGGTTACATTTCAAGTCTAAATTATAAAAATATTTGAATATTAAAAATAATCAAACATATAGCAAATTTTACAAATATGAAGTTCTATTTTTAGACATACTTTCACAGATCTCAGAAATTTAAATAAATCTTACCTCTTCACCATCATACCGGAAGTGGTTAAACCCAGCGGGAGTCAGTCGTTTGTTGTTCCTCCAACAAACCATATACGACCGGTTCTCCCAGGATTTGTAGATAATATGAAAAAAATGTTCCGGGGGATTTGTATCCGGGGTATAGAATTCACATATAGCACCGGTAATATCCGTCAATGCGTCGAGGGTATTTCCATATTCGATGGCTTCGTAAGTTTGCATAATTCTAAAAATATATTGAAAAGGAAGTAAATAGTGTTTTCAAGTCTTAGAGAGTATTTTTTTCATATCAACTTCACATTTCACCATTCTTGAAACATTGGAAAAACCAGCAAGGGAAGCTGGTAAACAAGTCGGCATCAGATCCGACACACATACACACATGCACGCATGCACGACACACATGGAGGCACGTCCTTAAATGACCGTAGCTGTTGATAAGACGTTAACCCCTATACAACCAACCAACAGTTTGGGTTTTATTTCATTGACTAATGTTCAAATAACACTAGAAATACGAAGTTTTTTTTTATATTTAGTATGTTGATGCAGCAGAAAGGGAAAAGTGTTTTAGCACCATATGACATGTTGTCTATCCTCGATACCAATCGGCATTTTCCGTAAACGATAAAATTCGGAAAGTTTCGACGGTTCCCAATCGCCTCTATACTCGATAGGTCACGCCCACTTTCGCTCTCTGCATCCATGGAAGATGTCATAGCAAAATCTAAGGCACGCTTGTCACACTGAACTTTCCATTTTGCTATGCCATATTTCAGGGGTGCAGAGAGCGAATGTGATTGTAACCCCTGAAGTATCGACGTTCCAAAAAAACATCATACAAATACATAGCAAGGGGTAAGTTGTCTGCAAAATATTTAATAACGTTAAAAATTCACAAAATATTGATAAACAGGTGGTTTACCATCCTCTCGATACTCCAGGGATTCCGCTCAATGCCTATCTCTGCACCCCTGGAATATGTCATAGCAAAATTGAAGGCACACCACAAGCTATTCGATTGGTTTCAGGTAAAAAAAACACCCGAACAAATGCTAAGGCTGATACCTGTCCTTTGCAGATTACAGAGGAGCGATACCCGACTTCAAAACCAGTCCATTTCATCGTTACGCAACCGCGAGATTATTTTGATGTTCATCAAAGGATCAAACTGGTCTTCTTGTCTCATCCACAAGGTGGTGCACACCGAGCCTTTGATTTTGCTATGACATTAAACAGGGGTGCAGTAAGCGAAAGAGAGCGTAACATCTGGATTATCGAGGCGATCGGGAACCGTCGGCACTTTCCGTATTTTGAGCGAAAAGTGGTCGTAACCCCGGGGGTATCATCGACAGTTGTGCTAGAGAGCGAAAGAGGAATAAACTATCAAAAGTGTTCTGAAAACATGCAGAAATACACAGTAAGGGGAAAGTTGCCACCAAAATCTTTTGTCACGTTAAAATTTCACAACATATTGATAGAACAGGTAGTTTACTCTTAAGCTAGTCTTTTATTTCAACAGTGCCAGAATACAAACTGGCTAAAAAAATACCAGTCAGTGCCAACAGCGTCAACTACCTCGTGATGTGAAAAAAACCCTATTCATACGAAAAAAGAACACAAATCTATGAAAAGATCTATGTATCGAGAGCGAAATCTTTGGACTTTGAGAATAAATACTGATGTTCTCCAACTGTTTCGCAATCGGCTACAGTAAAATCTCGATATAATGCCCCTCGTTTATATACAGTAAAATCTCGATATAACGCCCCTCGTTTATATACAGTAAAACCTCGATATAAAGCCCCTCGTTTATATACAGTAAAACCTCGATATAATGCCCCTCGTTTATATACAGTAAAACCTCGATATAATGCCCCTCGTTTATATACAGTAAAACCTCGATATAATGCCCCTCGTTTATATACAGTAAAACCTCGATATAATGCCCCTCGTTTATATACGGTAAAACCTCGATATAATGCCCCTCGTTTCATTTGCCGCTTCGTTTACGGCCAACATGTTTCAAGGTTCCCCTTTCTTGTTTTCTAAATTCCTTTATGCACTTCCCACACTTAAACGCCAAACCCCTTTATAACGCCAAAATTATGTGGACAACTGGCGCCAGTATAGCGAAGGTTTTCTGTATTTATTTCAGCAAATAGATTATTTCACTCGGAACTTACTTTGCATACGTTTTTTCCAGTAAAGGTCCCCAATACTCTGGAGGATTCCCAAATGCGCGACAGTAGTTGAGGTTATTGTCGAACATGGGTAGGTTGTCGTCCACCACAACATTGATCCACTCTCCGAACCGCCAAACGTTGAAGTGGAAGGCACCTAACATGCGACAAAATTATAATAAAATAATTACCGTCATACGAATCCAGCCAGCGTGACTGAAGGATACTTATTTAATGTTGAGATATAATTGAATTCAAATTCTAGATACGCAATTAAAACTGTTATGATGCATTTTAAAACATATGAATAAATATTTCGTTGTACAATATTGATGATTCCTAAAATTACAAATACCGTCCGTGTTGTAACCTCGTTCTGGAAATACAATAATGGCAGCGTAGACCATGCTTGTTGTTGTCTGTGCCGATGCCAGCTCCTTCCTAACAAGAGCCCAACATATCAACACACAAGGAATTCAAATACCTAAAGAACGTCGTCAACGATACCAAGGCTATTTAAGATGCCTACTGGTAAGAATTTCTTTCTAATTTCAGACTTAAAAAGCCGGTGTTCAAAATGCCAGGGATCAATATCCGAGTTATTCATATGCAGAAGTGCATCAACGCTACCCCAGGCTAAATATCGGTTTTATTTTGTTTAACGTCCTATTGACAGATAAGGTCATTTAAGGACGTGTCCCTATGTGTGTTGTGTAAGCGTACATGTGTATATGTGCGCCGGAGACATGGTACTTTGGTGTATTTGCCTCCTAGTAATTACGCTGATCTGATGCTAACTTTATAGTGGTATCTCACTGAAATACCATACCGAAGGCATCCAGCAAAGCATTCCGCCCGGTCACATTATACTGACAACAGATGAACCTGTTGTTGCCATTTCCCTAAGTGCTGAACGTTAATTATGCAAGTAATAGCAACTACCACCTTAATGACTTTGGTATGTCCCGACCTGGGGACAGAACCCATGGCCTTCCTCATCAGGGCGAACGTTTAACATTAAAGCCAAACTTGAGGTATTGCCAAGTAAGGCACTAGTGAATAAAAGGTAATTAAGAGTAGGGATAAATATGAAGATCCCAAATATTGCAATTGGGGCAGAAGATTTATTTTGGCTTTCGTGTCCCTAAGTAGATGGCGGAAAATGCAAATCCCCAATTCTGCATGGGTTCCTACATCAGTCGCTTCTTAACGTTACATGCTTGTTGGTAACAGCAGGTGTATTCTTTTGTCGATCCCCGATCGGCAGGCCCAGGCTCAAGATGCCCACTCGTATGAGTTCGAATTTCAGACTTAAAAGATGGTGTTCATGATATCAAAAGTTATCATAAGAACTATTGCTCCGCCTTTTCACACCTATTCTACAACGTGTCAATGTCTGAGACATTCACATGCAGAAGTGCATCAACGATAGATACCCCAGGAAAAAGATGTCCTTTGAGCACGTTTTCAGTCTAAAAAGTAGACTCTTCTCTGCAACACTGAAACACTGCAATATGTCACGACTGAATCGGAGATTTTCATCTGACACCTTGCTGATAATACAAATGGACTAGTCGGATGTCTTTGGTGATCATCAATGGAATCATGCGACAGTGTAGCGGTAAAATCGACAGGCTTTGACTTTTCTGTAGCTCCTCTGTAATATTCAAATGTCATGAATCAGCCCAGTGGTTGGTCAGGTTTTAAACCTGAAACCGATTCAAAAGCTGGACCATGAGCCTTCGATTTTGTCATTACATATTGCAGGAGTGCAGAGAGGATAGGTGTGCCGAGAACGAAATCAATGGGTCTCAGGGATGCCACAGGACAGTATACTGCAGCACATAATTTTAAGTTCCATTAAACGACTCATTTGCGAGGATTCGGTACGAGAATAATAAATGATAAGTGGAAATGAGTTCCGAAAATTGCTTGGGGAAAACTGTATTTTTCTTGACCGATTCTCAATGTTCATGAACAAGATAGATACATTCATCAAAATATACTGTGTTATGCAATTCATATATCAACTCAAGGTAAAGGGTACTCTTTTATCAGCAATAATCATGAAGAACTTCAGATTTTCTTTTTGGCTTCGAAGATTATCGCAGCTGTAACAAAGATCAAGTAGCCAAACCAAAAGAGTGGTCCTTTTGGCTTATAGTGCCTTCTACTGTTTTCTAAGTTCTAAGTTTTTCATATGCTTTGCAGCACATACGTTGGGCACTCATTTCATTCCATGGTTTTAAAGTCTAGGCTTTGTAACACAAGATACACTAAAAAAAAACTCCCGAGTTTGACTTCCTGTTTAGGCACGATTTCTCACCCCGACACAATTTTTCACCCGGGTGAGAAATAGTGCTAAAATTGCTGCGTTCGCAACACGATTTCTCACCCGGCTGAATGACTAATGACTAATAATTCAATGTACAACATGCCAATTAGCTATTGACTGATTTATCTATCAAATTATTTATTCATTAACTTTTGAAACACGCACAGATTCAATAAGACGATGAACACAGAATACTGTTGCCCGATTCATGCAATACACGTGCGCGCACCTTCTTAAACACATTCAAACGCAATCCGGTTCATCTGAATTGTTAGAGAATCAACACATATGCTACAACTTCTTTTGAAGTGACTCAGCAAATGATAGGCCATGATTTAGATCTGTTCGGAAACTTAACATCGAATATCATTAGCGTCTACATGTATTATATGTAACTGCAATACACCTCTACTTCTATGATACCTGCATCCCTAGGGCTGTACAACCACGCATACTTACTATACACAATATACATCTGTGTATGTTACATATATCAGATACCATTGTAAGTCAACGGTGCTGAGATAAGATAAAAAGTTTGAAGTTTGAAAAAGTTTGAAGTTTGCGCAGTAGTTTCTATATTCACAAATAAGCCTTAATATACCACAATAGCCCAACCTCAGTGTTCGTACTCATGACAACGTTGTTATATGCCTACTCCTAACACGATTTCTCACCCTGATGAGAAATCTTTTCAGGATGGGAAATCGTGCCGTAACACCCGCCGCGACAATTGTGTTTTCTTGAATCATTCAACCTTCGAACGATTCTAATTCTGTAAAATGCATCGCAAGCTGTGTGTTTTATGAACAGTCTGTTGATAAGGACTATAGCATATATCTTACAATAGCGTCAGTGCCAGTAATACATTTTTTTAAACTTGGTCGTACCCAACCCTTGAGGGTTCGGGGACGGAATAGGCCTGCTGTTTCCCACTGCATGATCGTAAGAGCCAACTAATGTCGGGGCTGCAGGATTAGGTGTGGTTTCTTCCTTGTCTTTTGTTTAGGTGACGTTGAAGAAAACAAGAAGAGACTTGGTGAATCCCACTGCATGCGTATCGTAAAAGTCGACTAATGTTCCCCCCCCCCCCCCTTGCGGGACTTTTCTCGCACAAAGGGGCGTGTAGGAGACGATATTGACCTGATGTCCCTATTGCGACGCTTAGGATCTTTTTCGATTCCTATCTTTCCTGTCCATCTACTCTCTCTCACCGGCGATTTCTTCTTGTTGTTGTGAGGACGTTAAACCCTAAATAGTTATTCGTACCCTTTGTTTATGCTTAACTCATTCACCCCTGAAGACACATTTGATCTCTTCCAAATCAAAGGTTGGAATAGTCCATTATGAAATTTCAGGGTTGAATGAGTTAAGTATGTTTTCAATGGTTGATCGAACGATATTTAAATATGGTTGATTTATTTCCTGTGTCACATATTTGTGTAAATCCAAATCCAAAGATAATGAAATCTTAAAAACAATAAGTGAATTGTATCATTTGCATCTTTTACCTATATAATCCAGTGAAAAGTTTTGTTCACACAACCGGTACCCAGGGATCAACTTTTCTACGTAGTGAACACACAGAGAAGCAATCACAACAGCAGCTTCAAACCATTTCCGCTTCCGGAACTCCCGCCATGGAAACGATGCTTCCACCACTCCGCCTACTCCAAACAGCACAGCGATAGAAGTGGTCTCCTGTAATGAAGAAATTCCATAACGTTTTAATAGTTTTATATTTATCTCATGATGTAGCGTGACCGTGATAAAAGTTCTAAATTTGACCCCAGACGATCTTATCACTTTGCAGCCGCACATCCTCGATACACAAGTGGTTATGCTCACTTTCGCTCTCTGCACCCCTGGATGATGCCATAGCAAACTCGAAAGCTCAGTGAAAACTAGTTTGATCCTTTGATTTACATCAAAAAAATGTGTCGGTCGCGTAACGGCAAAATTGACTGGCTTTGAAGTCGGGCGTCACTCCTCTGTACTCTTCAAAGGACTAGTATCAGTCTAAGCAATTGTTATTTTTTTTAACTTATACAAATCAATTAGCTAGTGGTGTGCCTGCAATTTTGCTATGACATATTCCAGGGGTGCTGAGATAGAAAGTGAACGTAAACCCTGGGGTATAGAGAATGGCAGCTGCAGTGCATAGAAGGAATGAATCTTTAAGGATCCATGTCGCACCACAGGCAGAACACTTAAGCATTCATCTGTAGTTTTACTAAGTGATCGTTACCTCTCCTTGTTCTCGAGTTTTATCTACATCATGCTTTCGGTACGTAGTAAATATGCCGCCCTAAAGCGCTTTATAGTACATAGATATACAATTTATGTAATTAACATATACATTAAATAATATACTAATCAATACACTAATTAATATATATAATATAATATATTTCCTTATATTTCGCTGGTTATAAGTAATTAATAGATATTTATAATATTTATGGCACATAACTTACCAGAGGTCTTTTGAATATCATTTTCTCGTACTTATCGTCCCCGCTATAAACATAACTGAGAGAGGACAGGTCTGGTGGAAAGGAAAGATCGGCAAACAGATCATCTTCGGAAGAATAAGTCTTCCCCTTCCGTTTGTCTAAAATATCCTTTTTTATATAAGCGTAATTTTGGTAAGGCACTTCTTTTGTTGGCATTTTGGCTTTTAGTGTTGTCATGTCCTTTCCTTTAGTATTTTCCCACTTGCAGAGTTTGTTAGGATTTCATATTTTCTTTGAATCTGAAAAGATAGAGAGAGTGTTACAGAGTCATGGTAGGACGAATGAACCAGTCACTGTCGAATCCACTGTCTTTGTTTTAAGGAAGATTGATGAAACCACAAACAATTCTATACCGACATGTTTATTTAAACATTTTTTTGTCTTGTGTTAGCAACGGAATTGGACACAAAATATACAACTTATACAAAGCCATTTCCGTTGTATATTATTCCAATAATAAAACTAACAATATTGCAAGATGGAAGCTTTAAAATTACAATAACTAATTGAGAGAGAGAGAGAGAGAGAGAGAGAGAGAGAGAGAGA